GGATTGAAATGTGCACAGTAAAGACATTAAATGATTAAATCTTTTCACTACCAACCAATACACCACGGGTGCCCCTGTCGGTCATTTTGGCCAGCCAATCACTTGCCCTGCGGTGCCCTACGGTGCCCTGCGGGTTGGTTACTGTACCGCGGGTTTTTACCGCTCATTTTGAATGGCTGCATCTGTAGGACTGATATATGCATTCTTAAAAGCAGTACAGTAGGTACCACACCCATGGAAAGGGAACTATTGATGATGTTGACAATTAATAGGCAGATGTCTGGAAGCAAGCGTTCAGTGAAGTGGGATAGGACTCAGGCAACAAGTTGTTCTGCAACAATATTTTTTTTAAGTTGATCTGAATTAATTGGGGTAAATTCAGAAACATCTGACACAGAGGGAATTTCAAAGTTAGGGCTTAAATATTTTTCTGGAACAGGAACAAGACTAAGGCTTGATTCAGATAATTGTAGATTTATAATCTTGGACTGAAAGAATTGCAAAAACTTAAGAGAAGTCAGGTGTGGAAGAAAGAACAGATTTGTCAGGGAGTTCAATGTGTTTGTAAATAACAGAGAATAGCACTTTCTTAGTCCGAGTGCTGATTGTATCCAAGATATAGGAGGATCTGGCAGAAGCTAGAGCAACTCAGTAGACTTGCAGGTGTGCATTATAAACCTAAAATATTTTTCCCTCTTGTGTACTACAGTGTCAAAGACCGAAGTTTAGCTGTATATCACGGAGAGGAGGGTTTGAATTTTAAAGGTGAGTTTATCCAAAATATTGATCATCACAAGGCTTAAATTACTGACTAGGTCAGGTGACAAAGATGACCAGTCATGTAAAAGGGGAGAACTAAGTACAGAATTATAGAAATCATTAGAAAAATCAGATTTCAAACAGTACATTTGTTAAGCCTTGCCTTAACTTGTTACTCCATGCAATCTACACTACACTCTACATTATTGTGTTATACATGGATAAATGTTTATAATCAATAATTACAAGGTAATTAAAATTGTGTTGAAGCATTGAGCATATTTTACTGGAACGGACTTTATTACCTGCAGTACCAATTGTATTGTTCTGAGGTCAACATAAAATGCACTTCCCAGTCTATTGTGACAACTGCAGTGCTGCTCTTCAACAATATTGTCAGTAAAGGGACAGCAGCATTTTATAACAAATGCTATGATTTCAAGATGAACTAAAGCATCATTTTATTACTTCTTAACTAACCCTAACTATTCTGATTCAGAGTTTGTACCCAACAACAGATGGTGTTGTATTTATTTCAATACATACAGTACAGTATGTAAAATTTCACCAGCAGAGGTCTCTAACAGCCCTATGTGCAGTTTACTTATACTGTAAACATTTGTGCAATGAGGATGAGGCAAATTCCAGTTAGGAATTTTACCTTGAGTTCAATGCTTTGGTAAATTAAAAAACAATGTATTTTTTTTTTATCCTGAAGGAGGAATTTTACCTTGGCTTTAACAGCCAAGGTCCAAGACTAAATAAAACGTCTTCCAAGGTAAAGCCTAGAGCAGAGCACTATGCTTTCAGAAAAGAATGCGACCCAACTTGTTCTTTTTCTTAACAAGAAATAATCTTCAGACTATGATTACTTTATTGTTACTTCTGAGAAAATAGCTGGGGTTAATAATGATAGTGATTTTGTCATCATTGATGTATCATTTTTTAAAGAATTTACACAACAATGTAACATGTAACATTTGTTTTTTTTCCTCCAGAATACAACAGAAAATATTTAAAGCACTCATTTATAATTTAAATATGAAGGCAAAGATTTTATGTTTTTTCTTAATGTTTATGAATCTAATAATGTTATATGTGTATAATAATTAAACATATTCAGGATAAGAAATTGAGGATATAGCTGCGTTTTTGTGTTCAAACTCACTTCATTGTTTATTTATTGGTACAAAACTGGTCCTTGGACAGCAAGGAGAACTTTGAAAGAACCCCAAGGACATGAGGATGCAGAGATTTCAAGAGATGTGGGTTATTTTGTGACACTGGCCTTGCTCAGCACCCAAACATGAGTCTAATGCTGCAGGGATTATTTCATAATTGAAAAGAATGCTAATTATAAAAAGATCTTTGGTTATTTTTTCAAACAGAAACTCTAATGCTTTTTAGCCCTTTCATTTTTCATTAAAATTAATCTAGAGAATTACCTTATATGGGTCTCCCACAGCCCATAGATTTACTCATATGAGATTCTAAATAATATTTCAATGGATATGATACAGCATCCAATATGTGGTCTAGTACATCTTAAATTTGGACACTTTTATGCTGCTATGTCTGAGATTATTTTTTAGTATTTTGTTTGAAAGTGTTTTTATTAGTAGTCACTTTACTGCATTAATAAATTTCCAAAAAGCTTTATGAAATTATCAGTAATTGTTGGAAAGTTTAAAAAATGTTTCATTTCACTTCTCCAATTTGTTCAACAGAAAATAACATAAAAAACACACTTTTCCAAACATTGTATGGCACTTTTCATACGTTAACATCAAATGCCCTTGTGCTATGGCAGGCATGCATCTATTCTAGAACAAGTGAGCCTACACATTGCGTGGGGGTGTGAGGTTTTAATGATAAAATAAGGGACTACAGTACAGCAGTTACAGTATACTATATATCATTTAATAGTGTTGCAATAAAGTGTTTATTGATTGACTGATGGATTCATGTTATTTTTTTAACCCAAGCGTCACTTCAGTAATTGATCTCAAAAGACCCTATGGTTGTCTTTGTAAGTAAGTGATCATGTGTATTAATTTGAAAAGAACTTTAAAAAATTGCATTATATTTTACATATATTTTACATTGACTTATCCCCTAATGCATAGAGCTGCTCTTTCCGTGAGCCAAACCTGTGCAGCAAAGAGTTAAGACCCTAAAAACCATGCATATTGATTTCCTCCTCAATGAGTAAATATTACAAGTCTACCCCCTTTCAGAAATGCAAAGGGCACTTTACTGTTTCTTTTAAAGCTCTGTATGTCTGCTGTCAACTATGACACCCCTGTCTGTGATCCACATCTTTTCCAAGAACCCCTCATTCCTTCTTTTTGTGTTGCTACATGTTACTAGGTGGTAAGTGCATAAATAATATTTTTATATTTGTATCTGTATATAATCTTTAAAACTCCACAGTTTTGGAAAAAAAATCTTAAGCACTTATAAATAGTAAGATAAAACTCCTGAGGTCTGTTAATGCTACCAGTATGGTATTTATTTATGTATCCTTTTGTGGATCCATCTGTAAAACTCTAGGGATTTAGTGGATCCTGACTTTTACAGAACACCCATTCTGTAATTCGTAATATGGATATCCTGAAGCACAAATACAAAAGTTTTTAATTCCAAAACCTGTCAGTGAAGGTCAGGGCAATAAAGGAATGTAATTTTCTGAGTCTTGTAAGTTTCATTTGCTGTCATGCTCAATTTAATTCCTTGTCATTTTAAAGCTCTTTTATATGTCTCCCTACCAGATTCAGTAGACATATCTATAGCTACTTCATGTTTTAAAAAATAATAATTGGGTTGTTATTTTCATTTACTTCACAGCACATTTTGCAGTATCCATGTTTCAGGGCCTGTTCAAAAGTAAAATGTGGTTGACTATGCATGCCAAAAAACATCACTTAAATTGTTTCTGCCTCATTAATCATTTTGAATTATTTTTTGCCTTAAGTGCCCCTACATTTACTTAGATTAGTTACCATTACATGTCTATTTATAACTGGAAGGCAAACTTCAGTGACTCAGTGATTCAGATGTTGCTTCACTGGTAGTTCAGCTTTGGGGTCTAGATAAATCATTCCAGCTGGATTTCCATTTCACACAATCTTCCACTGAGGTTGGCATTATGGTGGGATAATAGTATGTCAGTATGGATTTTAATAGTTGCCTTACATGTAACACAATGAAATGCTCATTCAGTTAATGCATGGTTTTGTATTTATTTTAACAGTTGGAGTTGTATGGATTGCTGACAATTTATAATTTATTATTTAAATTATGTAACACAATTTCTCTCCTCTGTGCTTCCAGTGCCGCATTTCCTATTAGGCACAGTAGGCACAGTGCCTAGGGCCTACAAACATTTTAGGGCCTGCGAAGGAGGGAAACACTAGTGACTAATGAAAAATGAGCTGAAACAACATGCTTACAATTGACTCTAGGGCTCCAAATACATAATCATACACTATCTAGTGGCTGTTCTAGAAACTAGAAGTATCTAAGGGATGGTCCATCAATCCCGTGGTTTAGCATTAGAATAGTGTAGCACCCACAACGGTCGCTTTAGTAGCTGCACCTCCCCTTAGCTATGGGCCAACAAGGCAGGCAGGGGGCAGGAGCCATGGGGCTGGACTTGAGGTCAGTGTGTCGACCGGAGATTGACCTAGCAGTGTAAATAGCATAGAGAGTTTATGATGAGCTATTGTAAATAGTTGTCAGTGTTAGCTACTTTGTCCTTGTAACCCACCATAAACCCCTTAATCCTTACCCTGTGTGTGTGTGTAACCCCTTCAAGGAGTGTCAAAGTCTGAGGAGCAGAGGAAAATAAACATGTTGTTGCCGGCACATCATGGATGTGCAGTCATTGCAATAGTTTAAAGTGCATCATGTCAATCGATGTAATTCAATTGGGGTTTACCCCTCTTTTTGCACATTTCAGAGTGAAAGTGCCTAGGGCCTACGACCACCAAAATTTGGCCCTGTGTGCTCCGCAATGATATGTCTTACACGTCAGCTTAGCTAAGTTCTGCTCTTTAAATTCCTTTGATCTCTTCTTCTTTGATTCTTTTTATGTTTCATTATTTGCCTGTCTTTTGTGAACAGTTGCAGTGAGGTCCAGCTGAGCCTTCACAATTCCAGCCTTAATGTTCTGTCCAAGGTTCGCTGGAGCCGGTCAGTAGGGGGCCTACCAGAGCCTGTGGAATGTGTTTTTTCAGAGTGGTCTGAATGGACCCGATGTGATCCCTGTCAGAAAAAGCGAGTAAGTACCAGTCTGAGAAAGGCTCTTTTTGCCTCACAAAAAAAAACGAATTCCGAAATTAAATGCACTGTCTCTTTCAACAGGATGCTATCACATCCATAAGGCTCTTTGATACATTGCTGGCCTAGTGCTGCTATTATACTGTATAATGCACAAGCAGAAAATTGCAGTCAGTTATATAGTGATTGGTTTGATTACAGCAGAAGGTGGGAACACCCAAAAAAGTTTCACATGTATCTGGGTACAATATAAAGGTTGTCACAACGACCCCATAAGGAGCACAAATTGTGTGAGTTTCACTCCTCCCTTAAATGAAGGATTCTGCAGCCACTGGTTGCCTCTGACCCCTCTCTCTGTATAGTACCGCTACACAAAGCTGCAGCAGCCCTCCCAGTTTGGAGGGGAACCCTGTCACTTCCGCGGACGAGAAGAGGAGGCCTGTGCCCCCCCATCCCGCTATTCCTGCAGAGACAGTGTCCAGTGCGATGGCTTTGTCTGCACCACCACGGGTACTGTAACACCTTTCTCAGCACAAAGGGGGCACTATTTCTTACATAAAAGTAAAAGTAAAAGTAAAAGAGTGTAATAATAAGTGATTCAATATAGCTTGTCTTCCAGCAGTGTGGAAAACTTTGTTTTTAAACAAAATAAGAGAACAGATGACAAAAATGGAATTACAGACTTTTCTCCAACTTTTTCAGTCTCCTAAATAGGTCTCTCTAGTTCAACTTTCTTATCGCTGTAGGTCCCACATCAAATGGGGGTTAAGAGCAAATAGCTACTTGGGAACTCTGTCCAATGTACTATTTGTGCAACAAACCGTTTCCCGTTCACCATGCTAAATTAATTTGAGTGTCTTTATGTTCTTTTTTACTCCTGAGTCTGAAGTATCTAAATTGTTTAGTTATTTTTCATATTTTATATTATATTTACCAGTTAATGCGTGTGTACCATGTGTTGAGTTCACAGCTCCCTGATGCAACCTGAAAGAAAGGCTAAGGAGAGAGTTGAGTTCGAAGAGTGTCCCATTAAACCCCAGTGTCAGTGCAGGAAACAAAGAGCACAAAAGTAATTTCTGATAATCCTGTTGGAGCAGGGATAGTTGTGCTGAGTAGATGAAGTAAAAATTTACAAGGGATCACAGTAGTACAGTAGCTAGTCACACACACACATACATACAGAAAATGGCTCACACTATGTACTTTTTAGATCATAATAGATTTTTTCCAGGCTGGGAAATGTTTATCTACAAATATACATTCTTATAATGAAATCAAATAAAATTTAACTTAAAAAGTCTAATCATATATTTTTAACCACTTACAGTATCTCCATGGACACATTTAGCCAATTTACACATGGAATTTCCTCCCCCTTAAATATTTGTTATATCGCTGCAGCAGAACATAGCAGGAGCCTAGTTCAGGTCTTAAATCGAAGCTAACCCCCTTGGCTTTTAGTGTGAACAGTCAAATGTCTTATATTTCTTAATGTGTCCACTCTGCAGACACACATATGAAAACAAAACCCCAAGAACACAGCAGACGAAAATGTTTTTTTGGTCTTCAGAGGTCGGATTTTTCAACTATATGCGTGTAAAAATGTGTAAAAATTTGAAAACCTTCTAGGTGACTACTAGCATGCATAAAAATCTGGGACAAATTGATCAATAAGAAAAAATTCTACATCATGTTTTGTGAAGACTGGACCTGGATGAAATTTCACGCTTATAATAAAAAATCATAAAAATATTGAAAATAATAAGAATAAAAACCATTGCAATTGCTATAAAAACCTTTAGACACTGCTTGAAAGCCTTTATCTGCTGTTATGCAATGGAAAAAAAACTCAAGAGTTGCCTTCTGGTGTGAAAAAAAGGAAAACTGATAAGAAACTGATAAAAAACTGGTTGGTTACCCCCTTCTGACTCAATGATTGACAGCTAAAAGGCAGGCGGAATGCAGCCTGAGGCTTCTAGAGCAAGTCTCACCCCCTAAGGGATCTGAATGGCTGAAAATACAACGAATGACGGTGCTTTTTACCAATCAGATCGCCTTATTTCTTGCGGTCCTGCTTCAAACATTTACTACTATTTACAACACAGGCAATAACTATCAGTAGCCACCCGGTCTGGAGATAAACTAGTCTGGGTTACTTTGGATACATATCATGCTTCAGAATAAGGTAAAATCATGGGATATATATTTTTTTTTTGCTGGTTTTTGCTTTTGCGATTTTGTTGGTACAAATGTATGATATTGACATGCTTTGCTGGCCGGGTGGCCGGGTGTTTTTATTGGGGTTCTGCTGTTTCATTCATTTATTGGTTTATTGCACAATAGTGTCACATCTGTGGAAACAAACGTTATGGTTTTGTTGTGATGATATTGGAGAATACTTGCATGTGAGAAAATATGTGGAGTGGTTTGAAAAAAACTGTTGTTTATCTTGCATTATCTTAAAAAAAAATGAAACGACATGCGTGGTCGTCAGGGATCCGGGCTAAGTCTCTAACCATTTCTAACTAGTAATAATTAGGGTAATAATAATTCAAACTGAGTGAATGGGGTTCGCAGAGACAAGGGAAAAATTATTTCACAGTCACAGACACAGTGACGGCTGGAAACGAGGAATTATTGACTGGGTCAATTTAACAGCTTTCAACTTGTTAAGCAACAAAATATTTAATGGAACCATTAAGAAACCCATGACAGATCCTAAAGAATTGAGCTTTTGAGCTGCTTTAATTTAATTACCACAGGAGAAGTTTCAAATAAGCAGTATAAGACTCAATAGAAAGACTCTAATGCCTGTGAAGAGGATATGAAAGCTAGAAGGACCTTGACAAGACATTGTTGGATCTTCTTGAACACAAGTGCAATTGCTATGTATTTAAACTGATTTGGTATAAATAACTGTATTAAATAGTGTTACAGCTTTAGGTGACTGAGAAGTGTCTATTGGATTTTAGTTAAAGTTTGTGAAACTTAGAAGAGTAAACATTTCTTGCTTCAAAGCAGAGAGGATGTTTGCTGAGGTCTGGGGGTCCCTTCAGCAAAAAACAATTTGAAAGTTTACCTTGGTATACCTAGGTAAGTTGTGGGTTAATGATTGTCAATGAACAGTACAGAAACATGCAATATAAGATCACATTAAGAACAACAGAGAGGGACAAGAAGCAAGAAGAAAGAGACAAGAGATTAGTCAGGAGGAGGTGGAACTTGAAGCTTGTGCCAGGCAAGAGCCCCTGCTTCATGATCATCCTAACAAAACCTGACTGGAGCTAAGTGTCAGAACCTTGCTAGGGGAGAGCTTGCTATTCTGTGTTTTTCGCGAACTTGGTTTTCCTGAGTAAAAGATATCAAGGTTAGAAATGTCTTTCCTCTTTGTGGGTACATTTGTACAATAGGCTCACATTTATTTTGGGGCAGGGTGCAGAGAGTGAGAGATTTAAGTGCAGGTTGCATTCGATTTAATTAGAAGGTAGCTTATCTCTAATGTGGCCTCTGTAGGCTTAAAGAGTTTAATACTTAGTAGAAGTCTGGGTTTTTTTCTGGATGATTAGAATATTAGGCCTCTGTTAGGCCTTGTCTGTAAATACTGTACATAGAATAACTTGTGTGTTGTATGTTTTGTTGTGTGTAGTGCAGTTTGTGATGCCATTGTAAGAAATATTTGTTTAACCAAGTGTGCCTGAATTATTACTCTTCTTATCACCAAAGCTATGCCAGAGAATAAAGAATTCATGCGCTTCTAATCATACCAGCGCTTAGGTGTAACGAACAGTTCTTTCCGGACCCTATGCAGACGACACAATCCAAAGAAGTGGGGAAACACTGGGAAAACGTCATGCAGGAATACGGGGCTAAAAACAGGGGGGTGTGTCCAAAGTGCGCTGGTGCACGGGGGAGGTGTGGCCGAGGCAAACAATCCAAGAGAGTAATCCTTAGAGGGTATCCAAAAACACAAGAGTAAGCCCAAAGCCAGGAGATCCATCAAAACAAGGAATTAAAAACCATGAACCAGGTCGGAACCGGCGGACTAGGAACAGGAGCAGAGGTTAAAACCTTAACGGGACCAGGCGGTTCCAGGTCCCGGACTCGCATGGTGCGGAAACCAGATGCAGAGCCAGGATGAGCGGCAGCGCCTGGCTTTTAAGGTGGGCTGGGAATAGGGATCAGGTGCACAGAATAAAGTCTAAAGTGAAAGGGCTGGAGCGCCCTTAAGGAGGGGGAACTATAATCGTGACATTAGGTATATTCTGGAGAAATCACTTACACAAGTTGGGGGTTATGAATATTTATTTTACTTATTGTCTTAACCACTCGGTCAAATCCTGATTTTCTCTATTTTCATAAAACATTTGTAACAATATTTATTTAAACTCATGCAGCTGTAGAAACATTTGTAGAGAGTAAAATTCCATGAATGCAGGATAAGTTCCATTCAATAAATTGAGAAACTGTGAGAAATGGGAATGAGAAACTTCTTCATAACCCCAAGACTGAACATGCTGCTTACTTATATTAAGTATAACCTGGTAGATAAAAGTTTATAGACAAAGTGACCATGAGCAGACAAAACCTTCTCAAACCCTGAACCCTATGTCTTCCAGGCAGGTGCATTCCCCAGAGGCTCGTGTGCAATGGAGATGATGACTGTGGGGACCGCTCTGACGAGAAAAGCTGCAAGAAAGTTTACAAACCCTGTAAGACTAAAGTAGAGGAGTACTGGGGAATCGAAAACTTAGGAAAAGGGTAAGTCTTTGTGCACCCAATCTGCCAACCACACACAACAGACTTACACTCTGTCATACAGAAACAGTGAAAAACAATCACGTTCATCAAAAACATTGTTACTGTCTTCCTCTATTACTCATATTCCTGTCTTAGCTCTGAGGCTGCATATTTTCAGTGTAAATAATGGGTTTCCAATATATAGTGTTAACTAGGTTACATTTGTGATTTTGTATCATAAAAGCTTTGTTTTGTTTTCTCATTTCTATTCTGGTTTTTTATCTCTAGGATAAACATTTTGAACAGCAATTTGGAAGGTGTTGTTATTGATAATAGATACTATGGGGGCAGCTGCTTACCACAATACATTTACAACACAAGATTTAGAAAACCCTTTAATTTGCAACACTACACTCTGGAGGTAACTATATTTTGTCTTTTAATTTGCAAGATCAATCTCAGAATTTTTATACTGCAAAACTTTAAAGTACACATTGCTTTTGTCTCCTTTTTTAGACAAAAGGAAATTATGAGTTCTCATTGGATGCATACGAGTCATACTCCAGTTATGAAAAAGACACATTCAAGGCACACAGTTCTCAAAAAAGCGTAAGCTTTGGAATTAGTCTTCCTGGCATATTTGAGTTTGGTTTTAACTACCAAGATGCCAAATTCAAGAAGAATGTTCAAAAAACCCGACGTTTATCTGGGACAGTAAGTAATATAGAAGCATGAATAATTATAGTAACAGAATAAAAGTGTAATTGAAGGATGACAAAAGAGGAATTATGGGTATACCATGGCATTGCATATTTATCTCTGAAGTATGTCTTTACAAGAACAACATATTTATATATTGCAGTTAACGTCAAACGTTAGTGGTTAGTGGGGACTGACTTACTCCTTGACCACAAACTTTCTTTTCAAAGACAAAAACTGTGTTGCAAGGAGTAGGATTTGAGATTTGTCAGCCAGTGCTCTCTCAGCTCCTGACAACGTAATGACACCTTACCAGATGCATTAAAAGGTGCAGTGACTTCAGTAATAGACGCCCTATTCCTCCACTCAGTGCTGAGCCACTTTTCTTGACAATGAGAATTTTTAATTGTAAATATATGATTGGCTTATTTGATGGGCAACTGAGAGGAGCCTGTCTTCACTCACTCTTTACCTAAATGTAGTATGTACAGAGACCATTGCCAGAAGCAGAGCTGTAAAGACATTATAATAAAGACAGAATTCCTCATTCAAAATTTGGTGGGAAGATTACCCTAATTATAAATAAAAAAAATACAAAACATGTTTATGAATTGCAAACAAGTTATGCCTGTGCTTGGTGCTTATACAAACCTGTTTAGATATACTAGCACCCTTCATTACATCTGAAGATCTACAAGCCCTTCACTGTAGGCTCTCAACTGAAACAAACATAATGTAGCCACTTACAACAGCTAGAGAGAAGGGTGGGAAAGTAAACCCGTGCTTCAAACAAAGGTTAACATGCTGTTCTTTTTTTCAGAAAAGCAGTTTTGTGCGAGCACATTCCAGGCTTGAAGTGGCACAGTACAAGCTGAAGACACAGGATCTGATGCTGCACTATGAGTTCTTCCAAAGGTTGCAGAGCCTCCCTGTGGAGTACAGCTATGGAGAGTACAAAGAGATCTTCAAGGACTATGGAACACATTACATTACTGAGGCTACCCTGGGTGGCGATTATGAGTACACAGTGGTGCTGAATCAAGAAAGTATGGAGCGTACAGGTACCATGCAATGATGGGATTACTTAGTTCCTGAGTGGCATCAACCAGAGAAACTGCCTAATCATAGTCAAATTTGAACCTGTTGTACTAAGGTCAGGCAAAGGTTAGGATATATACTCGCAGTATAAGTGTAGAATTGAAATATATGGATGCTGTGTTAATATTGCACAATACATTAGGAAGGGCTCATTTAAAATTACCAATACTCGGTATTGGTAACCATGATAGAAAAATGTAATACTGCTGCTCTGGAATCGGTCTATGGATATTCTTGCAGAGTACTCCAAATGCCATCTGAGTTGAAAGGGTCCACAGATACCTATGGCAACCTCAGCTGGAATGTCCTACAGCTTGCTGGCACACATGAGTTTGCCATGTAATTAGTATGAGCCATTTGTGTCCTCCCTCCTAAGCTTTGTGGAGGTCGCAAAAAAGCAGAATTGTCCATTTTTCACACAGTTTGGATTTCCTCTCTTTTTATCCTCAGTTTTGTTATAATATGTTGTTGTGGTTACTTTTGGTGACTTAGAGATTTAGAACTGGAACTTCCTAAAGTGGGGAATAGAACAAATAAAATAGTTAGGATTCTACATTTTGACCTTAAAGTGTAAATGTAGCTGTTTCGCAATATTAAATCAATTTATACCTGTAACTAGATATGAAATCTGCTCCTCTTCTCTGTTAGCATTTGTGCATACTCACACAAAAATGATTAAAAAATGGCTTTGAAAACAGGTTTTAATTTAAAAAACCTGACCCTATACTGACTAAACCAAACCACTAAAATAGGCAGAGATATGTTTCTTAAGTATGTGCTTGAATTATCCACAGATTCATGCTACTGTATACACAAATGATCCCCACATCTCCGCTCCCTCCCAAATTTATTATCTACTTTAGTCTACGTATCAAAAAAGTGGTTGGAGCCAGAATCCTTAACACCCAACTCTATAGTGGAGTAAATAGTCCTCGACACATACCTACGACAACTGCACCCTGAACTGAGACAAACTGTTGGACAAATGAATCCTTAAACTGTCAATAACTTCATGGCCACCTCAGAAAGGAATTCCAAGGGGGGTTCTTCTCTGTGTCAAGGACTACGAAATGAAGGGAGCACAACCAAAATGAGAAGCTAAGGAAACGATTCTGTCTGAACCCATGGATGGCAATCTCCTTCCCGGGTTGAAAGACAGAAGAATCACGATGACATCCCCTATGTTCCTGGTGTGGGACAGAAGAAAATGAGGCAGATCAATGTCTCAGAGACAAGAGAGTACAATAATAATAATAATAATAATAATAATAATAATTACTTAAATAGCACTTTTCTGGACACTCCACTCAAAGCGCTTGTCAGGTAATTGGGACTCCCCTCCACCACCACCAATGTGCAGCATCCACCTGCATGATTTGATGGCAGCCATAGTGCGCCAGAACGTTCACCACACATTAGCTATCAGTGGGGAGGAGAGCAGAGTAATGAAGCCAATTCATAGAGGGGGATTATTAGGAGGCTATGGTAGGTAAGGGCCAATGGGAAATTTGGCCAGGATGCCAGGTTTACACCCCTACTCTTTTTGAGAAACACCCTGGGATTTTTAATGACCACAGAGTGTTAGGACCTTGGTTTTACATCTCATCCATAGGACAGCATCTGTTTACAGTATAGTGTCCTCCTCACTATACTGGGGCATTAGGACCCATATGGACCACAGGGTGAGCACCCCTTGCTAGCCCCACTAACACCTCTTGCAGCAGCAACCTTAGGTTTTCCCTGGAGGTCTCCCATCCAGGTACTGACCAGGCTCACACCTGCTTTGTTTTAGTGGGCTGCTAGTTATGAGTTGCAGAGTAATATGGCTGCTGGCCATAAAATGGTCTGTAAAATTGTCAACATCCACTTAGCAGACCACCAAATAGAAAAGGAAGACCATCAGATCCCTAAACCTGGTGTATTCCTAGAATCAGTACTTGTGAAAGGTCATTCGCTATGAGCACTCAGGGATAACTCAGGGAGAGTCCTCTGGTGTCCTCTGAAGTGGCGAGACCTGCTCAAGTACTGGAAAAAAGCCTCATGGTTACCTTCCCACTCCTAAATGTAAGCTATATGCCAGGTGGCAGGGTGGTAGGGTCCCTCTGGGGTACGGGAACAGACCAGACTGGTGATGTATAATAATAATAATTGTTGTTGTTGTTGTTATTAAGTGCCTAAATTGTTACAAATAGGGGTTACAAAAATAGAGAATATCAGAAAATGACTGTGCAAATTAATCAATTCAAATAAATAATCATAACCTTCAAATTGTAAACATTATGCCAAGAATATACCCAAGCTATTGGTATAATTAGAGGCACCTGAGATCTTTGTTCTCTGGCACAGTCTTGGTGAGTAATAATACAACAATAATTCAGGAACACCGGGTTAAACAAACAGTTCCAACAGTACTGACTTAAGAAGTCTGAGTATGGAGTCCTGCAATTATTTCTTGTGATTCTTGTTTCAGATTTTACTTTGAGTGATGCAAACAAGTGTGTCCAAGCCGGCCTGAAAGTTGGAGCTAACATTGATGGGCTGTATGTGAGTCTTGGAGCTGGTGGTGGCAGATGTCGGGGTCTGCTAAAGGAACTAGGAGGTAAATAAAGAACAGCTGAAAGTGTTGTCAATCTCTCAAGACTTGTCATGCAACTTTATTCCTTACTGAAAACAAATCTTTTTTCCCTCTGAATTAAAGACTATTGTTGTAATTTATATTTTATAATATGGGGTTCTTAATTTTTTGCTTTGTTGGTGTTTTTTTCCAACAATAGTATTTTTTTCTATTAGGAATAACTGGAATTTTCTGATATTCTGCAGATCATCCATAGATGATCCCATCCCCCATGCTACCATTATCCTCCCACTGTGAGAGGATGCTACTTTTTATTGAAAACACAATTCTGTATATATCTGTGTTAACAGGAGCAGGTGATTACAGTTAAGCATGTGCCAAAGGTTATGTTAATGCCAAATGAAATGTGATTGTTACATTCACTGAGAAGGAACGTACAGTATTAAGGACTATCTTTTATCTGCCATGCAAATGTTTCCCTCCTCCTTGGGAATAGGACAGACATGTTGAATTGCATGGACCTTTGAAGTCTCCTGCAAGGGAATATTATTGAATTTGACAAAAGCATCCGATAAGAGTTGTCAAGATTTGTACTAGGTTCAGGAAGGCAACTGTTTTGTCAAGGGTTCCTGATGAATTTCTGTCAGAAGTGATAAATGCATTACATAGTGATTGCCCTGCAATGAAGCTTCCAAAATGCCATTTCCTTAGTTTTTTTTTGGTCTTCTTTATAATGAACAGATTAATCTCATCAGCGGAGAAACCTTTTAGTGTTTAAAGAGTTCCCTTAGAGATAATACTTACATTTCAGTTCTCGCCTTTTCGTTCAACACTATGTACGTGACACCAGTTGTAATAGGAAGATTTGGAGGGATGCAAGGGTTTGGTTGTGACATCAGCACACATGGAATTCACCATTCCATGTTACGTATTATATTAGTAATATTTTTTTGTTTGTGAATCATAATATCCTTGTTCAGTAATAATCATGGAAAGTAATTGGTAATGATGGATAAAAAAATTGCATCACAGACCAACTTTGCTATATTAAGTAAATAGCTGCATCAGCATGTGAACGCTGCAAAGGAACAAGTAAAGGTTTATTCCATGCTAAAAAGAGAATAGAAGAAATACAAAATTTCAGCTGTGGAGCCTTCTTCTCCCGAACAAACTACATTACTTCCTACTCATACACATTATCTCTATCAGGTGTATTACAGGGGCTTGACTGACTTAACAAGTCAAGGCTATTTGGCCCATCTAGCTCATTTGTAACTATTTAATCCAAGGATCTCATACAGCCATTTCTCAGAACCAATGGTGGTATCAGCTTCAACAACATGACTGGATGGCTTTTTCTAGACTTCTATAACCCTGTGCGTAAAGAAGTGCCTCTCATTCTTGGTTTTAAATGCACTTTTCTCTGTACTTTTCACTTGTGTCCCCTGACATGATTTAGTGTTTTTGAATACAGTATTCACAGTATGGACTACAGTATGGACTGTAGAGCCTGATAAAATCTACCTTAAAATGAATATGCTCTGAATTTGGAATTTGCCTTGAATATCTAAATAATCTAATATCTCAAATTTTCATGTTCTCAACAAATAAGAAATGTAGGCTTGATGGCTCTGTCCTGTGCTGCTTGGAACAATACCTTCCCATTAACACATTTCACTGAAAATACATATTTATATGTGTGCTCAAGTAATTTAACCTGTATCGTTTTGTTTTATACACTTCATTTTTCATTTCCATGGACACTGAAGACAGCAAAACAGAAAAGAGGTTTGTTGAAGATTTTATTGTGGAAGTGAAGGGAGGAGCCAGTGAGTACATCACTAGGTTGGCGTATAATCAGCTGCCGACTCCGGCACTGATGCAGGAATGGGGAGAAGCCGTGCAGTACAATCCCGACTTCATCGAGAGCAAGGTACGATTGTAAATATTCATTCATAGATCTGTTTTTGTGTAATATAGGCAACACATACTGATCACAGCTTGAGATACAATTTACAGAAGATTCAAATGTCTTCTGAAGTATTATTTCCAGCTCTGGATCAGATCATTGAAAAATAATTTAATAAATTAATAAGATTAGGACGGTATGGTGGTGCAGTGGTTAGCATTGCTGCCCCATAGTGCTAGGGCCCTTGGTTTAGTTCTGGATCTGGGGTGCTCTTGTACTGTATGTTTTCCGTTTGCTCTCACAGGCTTCTTCTGGGTAGGAAGGTTTCCTCCGGTTATGGCACTTTGAGAAACCACTTTTAAAGGTGCTATATAATTAAAGTTTATTAAAGACATACTTGTAGGTGAATTGTCTTCTGGGAGAACTGGCCCTGGTGTGAGCGTGTGTGCCCTGAAATTGGCTGGCATCCTGTCCAGAGTGTACCCTTCCTTGCTCCTGTTGCTCACTGGGATAGGCTTCAGCTGTGTTTGATAACATAGTTAGTTATATGGATTAAAAAGATTATTTAGTAATAAGATGAGGAAAGCAACATTAAACTTTCAGATGGACTTCATATAATTTGAATAGTACTATTCAAAATCCTTTATGACCTTTCTTCCAAAAGACATAGCAGTATTACTATATGTATTATGTGTAATAATATACTGTATCTCTTGACACCGCATAGCATCTAACAAAATGGTATTCCCAGCACTGGGTAGTGGTCCAAGCTGAGCTCCAGTGATTCAGGACATCCTTTATTCCCATGTAGACAGAGCCTCTGTTTGAGCTGGTAACCTCCAAAGATTTTGCTAATGCCAATATTATCAAGAGGAACCTAAAACGGGCCTTAGAAGAGTACCTGGCTGAGAGCAGTAACTGCCGCTGTGCCCCCTGCCTCAACAATGGAGTGGCTGTGCTGAAAGGTAACTTCAGCTCTGCTCCCAAAGGCTTAATTTGGGATTTATTTTCGCTGTGGTATGTTTAGATCTAAGTCTGTTCTGATCTATAGAATAAATATATATAACTATAGAGTAAGAAATGATACAGACAATATCTGAATTCTCTGTGAATTCCTAGAGCATGTATTTTGTTTGTAATAAACAAGTATTTTGTTTAGTATCATACGTATTCAAAGTCTCATGCTGTCTAAAATTGTCATCAACATTTTGGCTTCTTTAGCAGAAATGATACACTTAACACGCAAGGGTTTTTTTCAAATCTTTAATTACATAATTTAAAAGTTAACTCCTCCTAAAATTAAAGAAAGAATGAACTGATGCAGTGTGTAAAAGATCTATCCCAATACCTAGAATCTTACTGTATGTGTATCAGCAATGTAGCAGTAATGTGATTAAACAGATCTGAAAGTCATGCTCATGTCATTGTTTTCATCATAGACACTAGGTGTGAGTGTGTGTGTCCCATGGGATTTCGTGGGAGAGCTTGTGAAATCACTCAAAGAACTGGTAAGCCTGCTGTGTACAGATCATTTTCAAATTTTCAGCCGTTAGGTCAAAGTCCAATGAGACAAGATGACAAATATAAAGAAAAAGCACACTTAATATTTTAGTCTTCGGCTTTATCATGCCTGACTGAGTTACAGTCCTTGCCATAAGACCAAGACTGCCAAAATCTCTCTCACCTGTAAGGAATGAACCAGAGAGGCTGGGATGGGATGAAGGGAGGTGTTTTAGAAAAGATGTACTCAAGGGAGCAGCAGCAGGCAAGTACAGTATTCATTAAAGAGAAATCTGTAGTACAATCTGAACTCCTAGTAAACGTTTGTTTAACCACTCCATTACATATGTTCATTTCAGATTATTTTTACACTAAGTTTAATGTTTTCGCATATTCTTATATACCATGTGTCAAACTCATAGCCAGCGGGCTGCATTCGGCCCACCATCCATTTTAATCCGGCCCTTGTTAGACTTCTCTGGTCAATTGTGTGAGTCTCGCAACAGCAGGATGGCTAGTCGACTGGATAAGATTGCTTACGATCTACAAGAGCAGCTTTCAGAGAAATCGACTGAATTTATTGTATAATCACTTGCAGACTTTCTTGCATCAAAGAAAAGAGCTCAGGCTGCTGGCTTGGCAAAGCAACAGTAGGCTAACAGTTTGTGATGTAGACCTATCCTTATTTGTGTTTGTTTTTATTTCAATTTATGTATTTATTTCAATTCATTTTGTGCAATATAGTTACATTACCAAAAATTACCTAAATTTGTTTATCTTATTTTTATCTTGAATACATTTTCTTTTATGAAATGTTCAACCATATTCTTAAAAATAGGAATACTGAAGCAATATTTTGTTTGTATAGGCTACATTCACTTGCATATGTGGAAAAATGTATAATAAAACTCTAATCAGTATTTATCTCTGCATTTGTGGCCGCGACATGATTAAATGTTTTTAGTTTGGCCCCCATTAAAAATGAGTTAGACACCCCTGTTATATACTGACATTCCCTTTGGATCAAAGCCTTAGGTTACCAGGCCTGTTTTCTCAATACATTTTCAAAATATAAGTTGCTAGATTCCCAGTTTGTGTACTTTAATTTCTTCCAGTAGAAAACAGTGAATAAGAAAGAAGAGACTTGTTTAATGATTTTCAGAAAGAGTGAATATTTGTTTCGTCTCATTCAGTGTTCAGAGTTCAGATTTTGTTACCTGTCAATACAGAAACATTTAAATCACTTAATCATGTAAACTTTAAAAAAAAACAAATGGTACCATCATTGACTCCCATTGTCCATAATGTTATGATGTCCATGATATTGCTTTATATTTTCTACTGTCTTTGATTAATGTAATGATTCTGAAAGAAGAGTGAACCTCTTGTCGTGACCTGCTTTTGACCTTTGACACTGCTTCTTGCAGGGGTTGCAGTGGACGGCAGCTGGAGCTGCTGGTCTCAGTGGTCGACATGTAGTGGCCAGAAAAGACGCCGTAGTCGCAGCTGCACTAACCCCCCTCCTCAGAATGGTGGTGTGGGTTGCTTTGGGATCAGTGAGGAATCTGAGACCTGCAAGTGATTTGCTTACTGAAACAGCACTTCTTGCCATGTCCCTGATTACTATAGAGAAATAAACTATTTTCTTCCTCTGCAAAACACTATGACATTGTTGTAATACTAGCATTTTTTTAATGTTTCAGAAGATGGCAATCATGTACAAAATGTTTTCAGAAGTTCCAAAATGGTTTTTGATTACTTTTTACTATAACTATTTTGATTATATTTATTCTGTGAAGTGGACGGAAACTAGATTCTATTAGATTAAGATATTAGAATTACTGATATAAATTAGTAATTTAGATCCCTGTGGTTCTGCACTGAATACATCACTGGAATTTGAGCATTCACCCCTTACCTGTCACTCTCTGGGTTTAATGCACCTTCTTTAAAACTAAAAATACAATATTTAATGAATATTTTATTGTATAAATTATACAATATGGTTTGTGTTCATTACTGCTGTTGCTTGCTCAAAGAAATCAATGGATACAGTAGGTTAGTTAACCACGACTACTTTCTACTTTCGAATACTTTATAAAATCAACAATAAAGTTCATTATCCCACAAAATCCTAATGATATTCAAATTATCCTCTAGTAATAATTAACATTCCCATAACTTTACTTATAATCAGAATAAGACTTATGTGTCTATAATTACATGGTTTGTCACTCTTTCGTGGAAGGGCTATATTACATTCAAATCATTTGAATGTATGGTTCTGAAGCTTGTTTCTTAATTGCTTCTACCAATGGTATTATGTTGTATACAGGTCACAAAAGCATAATTATTTTTAATATCTTGTAAGTCTCTTGTCATCCTTGCTACCTGATTATATACCTTACCAGCCCCGCTTGTGTGGAAGTGTAGATTCTCTAGCTCAGAAAAAATCAGCAGAAGTATCATTTACATATCATTCTTCTTGGTACCACAATCTGCTTCCTTCCATGAAATCTCACTGACATGAATGTGACCATAGGTCACTTTTAAACCACACTAATAATCCTATAATATTTCACAGACTGCCACAATGTCAGAAATTTTGGGGAGCTAATTAAAAAAGCATACTTCATCATCCTTTAAATACAGTTACACAAACCCCTCTTAAAAAGTCTAAAAAGCAATGTAATAGATTTTTGTATTTAAATTTAATAATCAATTACTTAATGTTTACAAATGAGGGGTGGACATTTATTTTTAAGTAGCTGATAGAGATACTGTAAGAACCTGTAAGAGCCCAAGATTGGAAAGTAAATTCCAAAAACTCATATTCTTATATTTTATTGATATGCTACAATGTGCAGTACCCTTGCCTTTTTATTATTATTATTATTATTATTATTATTATTATTATTATTATTATTATTATTATCAGTATTATTCTCATGATTATTATAAAGGCAGACGAGTGTGTTCTTCAACAGTGCTCTGTTGACTGTGAACAGCCTGGAGAAAACTGTTAACAGGACACTGTTTGTGAGGCTTTGCCCAAACATGGAGATCCATCGTTGAGAGGAGCAGGGTTGTTACAGTGTCGACTCCGTGTTTTACTGCCAGACCTGCAGAATGACCAGGAGCTCCAGCAGCCCCAGTTCCCATGTGTTGGTCCTGTGGGTTGAAGAAACTACAAATAAATATGGATCATGGAGGCAGAGCTCTTTACAGCTGTTGGGTTCTGAGTTTTAGATGGGGAGCCCTGTCTGTGGGGTTTTCTCCAGGAGCTTCCACTTCCCAAAGACATGCAGTCTAAACTGTAACTACCTCTGTGGACATTAGATAAACTTGTATCCTAGGTGAGGACAGGCCTGTACTTTCAAGTCTTGCCTTGCAATCTATGCTTTCTGGACAGCCTGAAGGTTGATGCTCAATTCAACAGGACAAGTGGTTTTCTTATAATGGTCGAATGCATGGATAAATATTATGCCCATATACTAATATGCTATATGACTATATAGTATAACACGGTGGGCGTGTCGCATCAAAATGCTGTATAACGCGTAATTTCTCGTCATACTGCAAATTACAATATGCACATTAGATTATATTAATAGTATCCAGAATCAACTTGTAAAACTGTCAGGAGGAGCTAATAAAGCTTAATCTCTCATGTACAGCATTTGAGCTGTCACCAGAAAATGCCGTTTTCAAATCCTGATCACTGCTGAGGGACAATCTTTATTCAATTTAGAATATAAGTTGTATACTCTTTAGACTTTTAAATTTAAACTGTGTATTACAGCATGTTAATCATCATTAAAAAGTTGGTATATTTTATGAAAGCAAGATTGCTCAGTTTTGAGATTGCTCAGCTCAAAAGTACACAACCTACCATTATCATAAATATTTTAATTATGCAGAAATAGTTTATGCATCAAAGTCTTAACCGAAGATATTACTAATAGTATTAATAATGAATGACCTTGGACAAGCTGTAAACTCAAAAGTATTACCCTGGTCCATATTCTTTGTAACCGACATTTTTTTCATTGACAAAAAGTAAAGCAAAAGCTTTTCGTTGATCCAATCACGTATTAGTTTCCAATCATACAAAGTAAGTTTTGAGAATCTCCAATTCACCATGCCTTTCACATGCTCATAAACGATATTAATTTAGGAACATAAACATATCATGTAAACTGTATAAGGCTGGTATTGGTATTTTAAAGAAAAAATACACACCAGTATTCCACTTTCTCCCTAAACATTTTAAGCATCATTACATGTGGTTATTTTTGAAAAGTTTTCACTTGCTCCTTCTGAACATATTAGGATTATATACTTTGTGAAAAGCGATAGCCTTTTAACCTTTTCTGTGAATTTGCTCGTTATCGGCTTAAACAAACACATACTTTTAGAATTTGATTATCAGGGAATATAATATGAGAACATTCCACTCAGTGGGTGATGCATTGTTATCTCAATCACCTGCTAATTCGTTTTACACCACGGGAAGACAGGAGAATGTGATTGTACTATATCTGTACGGAATGCGTGTTGCGTTTACAAAATTAAAGTGTTTAAAGTGTTTAATTAAAAGGTAAAAAAAACTTAAAGCTTACATAAAGATTCTAACATGATCAAGAGGAAGTGTATTACATGTCTAATGGTCTAACCCCATTTTGATTAAAATCGCAAACGCGTGTTTAGTTAAATGCCTTTTTTGATTCACAATCTGACAATGAAAACCGGAGTAAAGTTAGCTTGAAGTTCAAAAACAATTTTGGCACAGCTGTAGAATTTTCACGAAACCTCCTAGAGTTTTGAGAACACTTCCTTTGTGTATAAAGAACATTGTCAATGTTTTCTTATGTCCATATCTTCACAAGGGAATCGGTGCGAATTTTAATACTAATTAAATGACCACAGGCACTTTCCACCCCCTCTACCCTTCTCAGAGTAGAATAGGCTAACCTTCGGCGGATGTTTTGGGTTTTGCTTGTTCACATATCTCCCCTTTTTATAAAATTACATGGTTGAAAACTGTTCCAGAGATCAGTGAAAAGTACATCATGAAATGCCTCTCCCTGTCCAATCCATTGGAAAAAAGAAAAGGAGCATAAAGCATCTGATGGTCATAAACTATATTAATTTAGGAACAGCATCAGAGATATTTTTTTAACTGCACTGCATCAGAGAGAATACCATAGCGTGTTTTTTTTTACTCCCTGGTGGAAACAGGCTTCCATAAGAATCAGTATGGCATCTGGGAAATACATTTTTCCTGCATTAAAGTTTAACTCGTTCAGAGCGCCCTACATTACAAACTTCAAGCATTTCATTTTGAGCTGAAGACCCTCACACCTGAAGAAGGATTCACAGCTGAAACGTTGCAGGCTTACGCAGCTACCCACCAGAATAAATGTCTTGCAGTAAATGTTTATATCATTATATCTATTTTTTTATTTATTTTTTTAAAATTAAAAAAATCGTTTGCCCAGCCTAAGAGGGGGGGGTCTGCTATCATTGACAGCTGACACTCCTCCATACACTCAAGTAAAAAATTAATAACGCCAATGTAAATGTCGTATTTACAATTTGTTGATAATGAAAATGTTAAGTTCTCTAAAGCTTTCACAGTCAAGTATGATAATTTACCTAGGGAGCTGTGTAAGCATGTGCAGGCAGCAAAAGATCGGCTAAACTGGGAAGAAAACGATTTCAGAGAAAATGTTTCAGGTGTGAAGAACACAGATTTCGACCAAACCCGTCCCCACTGTTATTACAATATTATGCTTTCTTAGACAGACTCTGCCCGAAAGGTGGAATAGATCAACTCTGTCGTTAAAAGGCTACAGGTTTGTAGCCTGCACCCCAGACCACTGAGGTTCACCTGAGGATTCACAATGCGAGAAATACTGCCCAATATGTGTTCGTGCGAACAACTCGCATGGGTGATATTTAGAAATATCTATTGTAGTATTGCTGTAGTTGTAGTGTTGCTGTAGTATTACTGCACAAACAGTAGTATAAGATTTCCTATTGATATGTGTACGGCTGTTTCACCCCCATGCTATGGCACTGTGTCTATGGCGTAATAGCTTAAGTGACTGACTTATAAGTGTGAGGTTGGGTGATCAAATCCAGCAATTGATATGAGTTTTCTTTTAACAAATACAAATTTCATTCAAAAACTAAAATAGCAAATATTATTGGCATTCTATTGACATTTTTTATATTTCTAAATATTACAACATGTTCGTACTGTATGTACACAGCAGTACCGCAGGGTGTGGGGTGCAAAGCTGATGTTGCGCATGCTCCTGGCACTGCAGCCGAGGAGCGCCCGGTGCCCTCTCTCTCTCACTATTCTGTGTAAAAAAAATCAGTTCGAACACCAATGATTTTTTAAATTGTGTAATGGTTAAAAAATGTCATGTGTAATGGTAATGTCATATAAATGTGTAATGCCATATTGAAAAATCATTAAAAAATAAGAGGTTTCACAACCCAAAGCAAGACTTGGAAAGGTCAGAGGACCTGCTTAGTGTGTAAAACACTTACTTGCAGCATTGTAGGTGCTGTGGTTTAAATGCTATTGGCTTGTGAACAGCATTGCCCTCTTCATAGGGGTGCACAGTGCCACATTAAATAAAAGCATGAGAAAAAGAGATTCAGAAAGCAGTCTTCTGTGTAAAAAAATCAGTTTGAACATCATGGGAGCTGTTTTTAATAAGCTGCTGATTAAAGAATATTTGAATTTTCCTGCTGTCAGCAGTATTGTGTATATAGTTGACCCTTACCTGAAAACAGGACATAAAGAAAGGGTTTCAGAAATCAAACAAAGCTTTATTCCTGTGCTTACAGACTGGGTAATTGGAGGCTGCGCTGTTATGCTTCCTATGGTGATATACAGGTTTTTTACACAAAGCCGTATTGAGCAGTATTTCTCACGTTGTGAACGTGTGTACACAGCAGTCCCCCCTGGTTCCAGTTAGTGCGTAATTACGCATTGATGAAAAACCAGAGTTCATGGTCTTTTAAATGGAGTTTTTAATGAAAGTTCGGGAGGAATGAAGGCAGCCAAGCTCATTCGACACAGCTGCTGCAATTCTCACTAATCCTGACATAAGCAACTGGTCTCCATATATCAAACGTCACCTTCTCCTCTTCCTCGTTTGTTTTCTGCATCCCTCCTCCACCCCCTCTCCACCTTTCCAGCTACCCCATTGGTTGCATGGGGGTCCTATCCTCCCTGTCCAACGGCCGGGAGGTTGGCCCTCAGCCAAGCAGGTTACGCCAAATCTCCACATCCCAATAAACGATTCTAATTTCTCCCAAGCTTTCGGCTGCCATCATTCCTCATGAAATACATTTGGTTTGAAGGCCTTCTGTGTTTCCCTTGCGAAGATATGAACAAAAGAATGTTCCAGCGTGGTAAAAAATATGGCTTAAAAACTACATAGTGAAGACTGTGAAAACAGTCACGATATATTTTGTACACACAGCAAGTGTTTTCTTAACTCTAGGAAGTTTCGTGAAAAAGCTACAGACATGCCAAAATCATTCACGAACTTCAAGCTAACTTTACTCCAGTAACCTTTCCCCACACACCCTGCCCCCACTGCAATTAGAATATACACAAAGCACTGAAATCTTTAGAGTAGATGATCAGGTGTTTCGCAGACGTAGGCATATTATGTAATTCAGGCTTTATGAACTTATGAACACCTGGGATTCGATTAATTAGGGTTATTAATTATTAGAGTTCATAAATCCTGAATTACGTATAATGCCTACATCTGCGAAACACCTTTGCTAGTTAATACTACTTCACTTTCTTAGGCGTGATTTTTTAAGGCAAAAACCAGGCTAACAGGCTTGTTTTGTGATCTTCCTAAGATTGTTAAGCGCAGTGTCAAAATGTTTCGATATGAAAGTCAGTGACTTCACTGTCCTGAGGCGTATGTGTGTGGCAGATCTGTGATGTGGATGAGTGTGAATTGTGGTGAGCCTCTGATTGGAAAAAAAAAGACCTGCTGATCTGTTCTACATACCAGACCAAGACAAAAGAATATGATTTTTTTCTATTCGAAACAAATTTTTATTTTTTTAATTTTTTTTTAATTAGTGTATTTTAAATGTTTAATTAAAGCACACACAGAAATTTTAAGCTATTCACGAGGAAGAAAAATCACCTGTTTCTCGCGCATAAAAAGTGGTTATTAACTATCAAAACCTGTTTTTATGGCTTTAAAAGTTGTGCAATGTCTAAGCAGGAACACATCATTATATCTCTTTTTTTTTAAGAATTAAAAAAATAGTTTGCCCAGCCTAATTTTAAAGACCTCTACTAGTGAAATTTTTTGCAGCCTGTACATAAAACTATATACACAATACTGGTGACAGCAGGAAAATTCCTTTTCTTTACTCAGTAACTTATTAAAAACAGCACCCATGGTGCTCAAACCGATTTTTTTACACAGAAGACTGACACAGCTTTGTGTTGTGTCTGTCTTCTGTCTTTCTGTCTTCTGGACTGTCTTTCATTGGAAGACTGGCTCTATTCTACTTTGAAAATACCTGTGAAACCGGTTTCTTTACAAATAATGTAGACACAGAGAGAGAGAGAGAGAGAGAGAGAAAGAGAGAGAGAGAGAGAGATGCAAAAACCGTGCAGCGCCTGGCGAATGCACAACATTAATTTAGGGCTTTCGGGCTCACGTGGATTTGTGCCCTAGTTTTTCAAAGAAATGTTTATTTGTCAAAAGAAAACTGATGGTGACAGCTGGGTTTGAACACTCAACCTCAGGGTCATAAGTCAGTCACTTAAGCTATCACACTACTGAGGCGGTCATGTGACAAGCACATATCAATGGAAAGTCTTATACTACTGTTTGTGCAACAGTACATGAATATAGTTATACCGTTATTTATTTAGATCTGCGAATCCATATTATATTCCCTATTAATCCAATTCTAAAAGTATGCTTTTGTTTAATCCGATAACAAGTGTATTTGCAGAAATGTTAAAAAGATCAATTTTCACAAAGTATATAAACGTACAGTAATATGTTCAGAAGGAGCGTGTAAAAACGTTCCCGAAATAACCACATGTAAGACTTTGATGTTTAGGGAGAAATGTTAAGGGAGAAATGGAATATTGGTGTGTATTTTTTTCTTTAAACTACCAAGACCAGCAATATACAGTTTACATAATGTTTATGTTCCTAAATTAATATCGTTTATGACCTTCAGATGCATTATGCTCCTCTTCTTTTCATGCTCAGCTACTAAAATTTCCCTTTAGTTGTAAAATTCCATCTAAATATTAAATACTAAGCAGATTAAAACGTGCACAATAAAAACATTAAATGATTTAACCTTTCCACTACCGACCAATGCACCACCAGTTCCCCTGTCGGTCATTTTGGCCAGCCAATCACATACCACGGTATGCAGCGGTGGCGCAAGCATAGTTGCCCATGATATTGGTTTGTACTGCGATCTTTGAATGGCTGCATCTGTATTATAGTGATATTTGACATAGTTACCATATTTTTATCATTTTGAATGGACCGAGTTTTTTTTGGGCTCCATTGTACCACATAAAGAGTTTTGTAAAACATTGGCCAGTGGTGCATAATGGATAAGAGAGAAAATTAAAGATGGCAGACACAGGAGGCAGCCATGCTGGAGAAGGAAGGTAGCAATGCTGAATTGCTTCATTTTGATGAGCTCCTCTGGTTGCAAGTTGGAAAAGATGTAAAAAATACCCCCAAATGATACTCAGTACTATTTATTTCTGTGTTCAGCTTTGGTTGATTGATAGGTACAGCTGGGAGATAGCTAACTGTCTCACATGCAGGAAACCTTAAAAAAAACTTTATATTTAGTATGCTTTTTTATTCCGATTTTCAAAGATTTGGCTGTATAAAGGAAATCAACTGCTCTTAAAGAAATTAAGCTTTTGTTTATGTATATTATTTTACACAACTTACTGAAAGTGATAGAGAAGGGATTGGAAAAAAAGTTTTCTGAAAGGTCATTACCTTTCCTCTGGGTCTCCTCACAAGCAGGCCCTTCAAATCCACTGGGGCACAGGCACCGGCACGACGTTCCATCAAGCATGGTCTGCCCATTGTTTTTGCAGGGCTGACAGCGGCATGAGTTGAACTCCCTCAGATACTCATGCCATGCCTTCCGCAGGTTCTCAAGCTTTGCATTGCCACTCTTAGCTGTGCTGAAATGGACTAGCTCATATATTGGAAGGATCTGGAATTAATGCACAATAAACACAGAAGAAGGGACATCAGAACTATGATTTGTTTTTCTCCTCTGGTGTTCCCAAGCTAATATCGTCCCAAATATACTAACTAATGCAACAACACAAGACTGACATCCCCATTTAGTTTTAAGCTTTTTCTTATTAAAAAATACTAAAAAAATCACTAACAAATCTTTCTATGTTTGTCAAAAATTCACTGTCTCATGTGCTATTGCTTTTGCTTTAATATGGATATGTAGATTTAATTAAACAATTTGCTCTAAGGGAATATTTCATTATACCTCAAATTCGATGAGAGCTGGCTGGTATTTTAAGGATTTCCCCCAATGTCGGTATGTTTTCTCATCATAAACTGCCAACAGCCCACCGCTGGAAGCTGTGTCTCCTCCTCGAATCAAGTTGATAACATCTTTTACCATACTACTTTCCTTTTTATTATCTGTCAAAATCAATAAACACACAGATATATACTGAGCTTCAAAAGAAACTTGTCAGTCTATTTATGCATGTTTTTATAAAAATAACATGGATATAGATTCTGGATCATGATTAAATGTTTTTGGAGTCATTTTAATTAATTGATAATTCATGAATAGCCATGATACACTTGGGCTATGGTATAAGCACTAAATCACCTTATTACTGAGATCATTAACTGGCTGATGTGGTGATTTAACTTGTTGAATGTCAAACCTGGTGAAAATCAAGAAATAAAAATATAGAAATGCTCCACTATAGTATTCTTCACTTATCAAAGGACCAGCAATACTGAGCTATCAGTCTGTTGCAAGTTTGTCTACAGTTCAGGTGAAATCTTCAGCAACCTAGTTCCGTTTAGTGATGATCACCTTGTTTATTCCACCTTGATAGAAACTGAATAGGATAATTGTTGTATAAAACAGACTAATAGATGGGGAGTTAGACCACAATTACTGATTTTTTATTTTTTAAAACATCAGTGTAAAAAAAATCACATAATGGTCTTATCACATATACAGTAGTTTTATTTATACACGCAGTATATACGATAAATGCATATGTTTTGAACACATGATTGTTCTAAAGCTCATAGCTAAAGGCTGTGGGTGTTTTCCATGGAGTTATAAATAAGTACTTATGAAGCAGATAGAGGTCTTATTATTTTTAATTAGAGTCAGATTAAACTACAATTGTTATACTGTGGAATGTACACAGATGTACTATACATTTCAAAATAATATTGCACTAATTATAGAATTTAATAAACCCTTCAACGGTTTTAACTGTTTCCATAGCCATGGTCACCTTCTAGGTTAACATTGTCAGATCTCAGAAGATAAGATGGTCTTTAAAGATCCCATGGCTCTGTCTGTAAGAGTAGCGGTGTTAACTCCTGTTAACTCCAGTTTTGGGAAGTACCCCTCTTGGTTTCAGATTTCTGGCTTCCTCCATTTAACTACAGCTCTTTGACTCGGCAATCACGCTCTCTAGATTTGAGATTACTGGCTTCTCCTTTTGACATAGTTTTTCGTATTGCAGAAAATATCTTTTGAAGGGTTATTTTCCCCCTCCCACATTTGGGTTCACAGAAACTAACGAGAGGTGATGTATTTTTTCCGATGTGTCATAAAAAGGTTCTATGAATATTTTAATCTGGCAATCATTGTGTTCTTCACATGGCCCTATATAGTAAACATGTGAATGTGAACACCGACACTTTTGCTATCACAATTAAGAGTATTAGTGAATCCTTTTGGTTGCACGTGTGTGATGGATGCAACTCTGTTCTGCCCCTGCTGGGATTTGATCATTGTAGCTTATAGGCTCAGAGGAGAAATTGCGCCACTCTCCAAACACTGGCAAACTCCGCTATGGCAAAAGACCTGGTCTCCTGCACTCCTGGTTTTCTCCTGTACTCTACAGGGTTTAAGGGATGATGACACCTTTTATAACAGGTGTCAGGTTTCACATGTGTACAAATATACATCAACAGTGAATCAAATTCTGTAGTCAATCAAAGCACAGTAGGTAAGATTAGGGCTAATAAGAAGATCCCTTCAGTGCACCTGTTCATATGTAATCCAATCATCTGTAATGCACTTGTAGTTGTTAATACACAACTACACAACTCAGAGAATACATTGTCTGAGTTTCTGTTTAGTTTAGCATAGTTGCAGGCAATGTCTGTTTCCCACACATTTTAGTGTGGTACCTAACACACCACAAAAGTGATGTGCAATTGAGTTACAGCTTTGCTAACCGTTACTAAATATAACCCCAGAGGAAAAATATGGTACTATCTGTTAAGAAAAACTGAAGGCATGCACACAAACCTGTGTTCTGAAACCCATGTCTGTTGCAAAAGTCTGCTGAGACAGAAAGGTCCATTGGGCCAACCTTTGCAATTCCTAGTGACAAGGCATTGCACTGCCCTGCCTGCTCTCCAGTAATTTCTACAAGATCAAAGGTGAATGTGAATGACAAAAAATACATTGTTTCACAGGCATCAGTTTCTCTTACATATTGCTGAAAAAAAATATTTAGACTTAAGACAGTAACCATCTAAAGTGTGAATACTAATCAATTTTCCTATTTTAATTTGAGAATTGCTCATTACTTTTTGGGGCCACGTGGTGGCGCAGTTATTGTTGCTGCCTCACAGTGCTGGGGCTCTGTATTCAATTTCTTATCTGGGGTGCTATCTGTGTGAACTTTGTATGTTCTCCCCATGGTAGCAAGGAATTCCTGTGGTTTCCATCCACTGTCCGAAAGCATATTGTTAGGTTAATTGCTGTAATGCTGTCCAGGGTGTGGAGTCCCTGAGTGTCGGAGTTCTTGCAAGAGAGATGCACGTTGCTAGGCGACCACAGCTGAATAGAACTTATTAGAGTTAACAAGACTCTACTGTGAGAGGTCTATAAGAGCTGACTGAGTACTTCCCTGAGTGAAGATCAAGCCAGGCAGTCAGTACTGGACTAGCTGTAGAGTAGGGCAGACATAAGATCACAACTTTAATATGTAGGAAAAGAAGAAACAGACTCAGCACAACAGAATGAGTGAGGTCAGGTGTCTGTAATGTGGTGTATCCTCTTAACTCATGCATACAGTAGGTGAAGTAGTGAGAGAGAATAGATCGCATCTATCTGCGTGTTAGCAGCAGGTGTCAGATGCTGCTGAAATCAATGTTTAGGAAGAACATCTGCATTATGAGAAAGCAGGTTAGTAAGTTGCAGCTGTAGAGATACCCCGATAAGGGGAAACAATGATGGCAACACTCTTGGAGGATTTTGGAAAGGAACTGCATATAATATTAGGTGTCCTGAATAGAAGAGTTGTAGAATGTTAATTTCTTAGGGAATCTAGGTAAGAGTTTTTAGATGTTTATGCATTGAAGGAAGGGACCATTGGAGTAAAAGAACAGGTCTGTCTAGAGAAAAGTCCACTGAGTGACAGGATTAGTAAGTGGTGTTTAAGTTAATGTGAATTTGTGTAATAGAGTGTGTATCATAGAGTAGGTGTGGCAGAGGAGTCCTCACTCTAGAAAATGCTGAAGCATTGAGTTTATCAATGTCTTGCTGCTTACCTCTTCAAGTGAATGATATAAAACCGAGTAGGTTGCGGTAGAGGAATCCTCACTCTGAAAAACATTGAAGTGTTGAGCGAAGAAAAAGGCTCATCTAGCTGCTGAAATCTGTTCGTGGGCATACAGTGGCAACAGAAGGAGGGTGCCACCGATGCGAGTAAGTGTGGGTAACTGTGGGTGTGGAACTAGGGTAGAGTGAGGGAGTCGGATACTCCATGTGTAGTGGCTAGACTCCTTCAGTAAACATCATCGAGATGCAGGGAAGGCTCCCAAAGAGTAGCAGATACGATCGTTGCCATGTCAGCCAGCTGGTAAGTTAAAGAAAGCAGTAGAGGTCGGAGAAGTCGTACCAAATGAGAACAACCAAGTCGAGAGTTTTTCACTGCTTCTCCCCAAAAGGAACTAGTGTGAAACAACAGAGAGAACTAGAGGATCCTTCAGGAATACATGAGCAAAACGCTCAGCGATATTAGTGAATCTTGAGTTGATCTCAGAGATCATAGTAGAGACAGAAGCGTGGATGAATTGGGAAACTCTGAGCCCAACAGTCCATCAGCCAAGGGCTTAGAGAAATTGACATACGCTTGCTTTGGGTCCTAGTTGCCCAGACAAGGGGGACGTATACATCAACACTCTTGGAGGAGAGTGTGTGTGAAACTAGGGAAAGGAGTGGAAAAACTCCCTAAAAGCTGTAGGGGGGGGGGGGTGTCCGCAGCTGTGAACACACCCTTTTCATGACCTAATTTGATGGCCATACCCCATGGGGTTACATTGGCTTCTAGGAAAACTGGTCCTATGTGTGAGTGCATGCACATCTATCTCAGTGTGTCTGTCCTGAGATGGACTGGTGTCTCTGGCTCCTCCACAACCATGAATTGGAAGACGTGGTTAGAAAATGGTTAGATTTTTATTACATGCCTACCCATTTTGTATGTATGCTTTATATTTCTGTTCACAGTGACTGATTTAGCTTTTGACACACTGCAAACTCTGTAGTAACACTGTCACAGAGTCACTGTTTTACTAGAAGTTGAGAAAGCCCTGACTGACTACCCAACCATAATCCAATGAGTGCTTAGCAAGTTCTGTGCTGCCACTTGTGGAATTCCAATAGTGACTATTGACATAACCCAGCCTCTGACATGCAATGTCTGCCTCTTTTTTTTCCAGAATATGTTAAATGTAAAATTATACCATCAACTTTTTACTTTTTTCACATTTCACATTTGCACTGAGAACTAAGGCCTAAGCTTGTTTAGGATCAACAGGAACTAATGATCTACAGTATATGGCTGTTTTATATTTTATCTATAAGACATCTTCAGGTACTTTCAGGCTGTATTGTGTTTGCTATCTAATGATGTCATGTTCGCCAATAGAAGTAAAAGGCACAAGACCACCCTAAACACAAATGTACTGGAACAGAGATCCAGCATTGTTTCCACACAAGTTAAAAAAGTTTTAATGCAAAGTTCAGCTTTCTGATTGCTTATTAACCGTATAATAAGATTATTAATTGCTTATTTATTCCTCCAATTGGTTCTTAATTGCTCAATTTTTAAAGGTGAAATTGAAAATGAGAAAAATGAGAAACTGTTCATTTTCACTTACATTACTGATACAGATCCCACATTTTCAAGACTTTTAATGTTAATATTGAAAGAAAAAAATGTACCATTCCTTTCCATAGATTTCTTGTCAACAACCATGATGTACTCGAGGATTCCTCCCATTATGCCAGAGGTGATGTAGTGAGTTCCGTAACTGTTGATGAACTGGGAGTAGGCCCCATAGTCATATTCTTCTGGGAGTTCAATTAGAGACTGATACATATCTTCATCCAGAACCAAACCTCTGCTTCTCATTTTAAATTGGGATGTTTGAATTTTTGTCAAATGCCTTATAAATCCCAAATTCTGTAATAAAATATTATGGTCATGTTTAACCCTTACAATACGGTACTATCCATTTTAATGAAGTCTGTGTCTGCCAAGGACAATTTATTTTAGTTTAAAACTTCATACTTCTTAGTACAGCCCTTGGAAAGTTCTCACACTTGTTTGAAAGATTATATAAGTATTTCTGAAAAAATTACAACAGGAATAGGTTTAAATAAAAAATAAAATACAATAGATAAAAACCATAGGAAAAGCAAAAGTCATGCATGTAAGACCAATGTGCATTCAAGTACGTGAGCAAGGTGATTTATGTTTAGTATTAAGTCACAGTATAGACAACAGTTGTTTAAAAATTTGATAAAACAGTATGGAAAACACAAGGTTAAAAAACAGACATTCCTTTGTGAATGTGTGGTTCACAGGAAACTGTTTAAATATCAAGTAAAATGACAAAACCCAAGAAAGTTTCATTGCCAGGAAATAAATATAGTACAGCAATGTTGCAATAAGATTGCTATGGAGTTAATATTCAAAGTGGGAAACAAGGATCTGCTTATAGCCATTGACACTAACCAAACCAATAACAAAAAATAACTGCAGTATTACCCAGGCGTATACCAGCAAGAGTATACCCTAACTACAATAATAATAATAATTTCTTACACTTATATAGCTCTTTTCTGGACACAAAGCACTTTACAGGTAATGGTGACTCCCCTCCACCACCTCCCATGTGTAGCATACACCTGAATGATGCGACGGGAGCCATAGTGCACCAGAACTCTCACCACACATCAGCTATCAGTGGGGAAGAGAGCAGAGTAATAAAGCCAATTCATAGATGGGGATTATTAGGAGGCCATGATTGGTAAGGGCCAATGGGAAATTTGGCCAGGACACCGGGGTTACACCCCTACTCTTTTCGAGAAACACCCTGGGATTTTTAATGACCACAGAGAGTCGGGACCTTGGTTTCACGTCTCATCCGAAGGACAGCGCCTGTTTACAGTATAGTGTCCCCATCACTATACTGGGGCATTAGGACCCACATGGACAGCAAGGTGAGCACCCCCTGCTGGCCCCACTAACACCTCTTCCAGCAGCAACCTTAGTTTTTCCCATCCAGGTACTGACCGGGCTCACACCTACTTAGTTTCAGTGGGTTGCCAGTTTCTAGTTGCAGGGTGATAAGGCTGCTGGCTTTAATGATATTAAGAAAGATTTAAATTATTTTTATTATTGGTATTAATATTATTTATCATTAAATACATATTTAGATATAAAATGTTGCTACACTTAAAGGAAATTGTTTATACTTTGTGTGTATGTGTGTTTGTATATATATGTTTGAAAGAAATATTAACGAGGAACTGTTTTTCAAAAGTGTAAACCGTAATCTGGATTTTTGTGACTTGTATTTCATTTTAATAACCTGTCACGTTATCATAAGTAAATGTTCTTTACTTCTGAAGAAGGCTATACAACCAAAAGGTTGTGTTTCTCCTTGAAGCAGTGGAGAAATTTCTTATTTTTTTATGTGGAATTAAACTTTACTTGTTCCATTGTATCATATTATAACTGCATCTTCCCCAATATGTTAAGCATGAAACCTGCCATGTATGGTCTTAACTGGCTATCATTTTACATATGATTTACATATCAATAGTCCTTTCTAAGGGACAATATCCTCCAAGTTTGGAGTAAGCAGCATGGTGTTATGCATATTATAAGAAAACTAACAACTTAGATAAGGTCATGCATGCCCCAATTTGAATATGTGGAGTCCAAACAAGACCAGTTTAAAATGTTTGGGAACAAAATAAAAAAAAATATGATGAAAAATTCTAAATTGGAAGACTACTTATGCAACAAAAGAGTAATGTTCAGTAGGTATTGATTTACCCCAGTTTTTCTCACAACTACATTGTCTTGGGCAAAATATATTTGCATAATTGTAAGAAACTTATATTGAATTGCAGATCATTGAATTGGTTGATAAGGCAAAATTAAAATTATTATTAGTGGTAGCTTAAATACTCAGCTGCAGAAGAGTTTTTTGTGGCCAGTTGCCTGTGGTATGTAACAGCCTTCCTGTACAATAACTCAACTTTCTGAATACCAATTTCTTTTTTTGCAAGAGGGTGAAGCTTGTTGTGCCACTGTCCTTCTGCAACCATATCTATCTAGTTCATCAGCATACACAGATCTTGAAACCTGGAGATCTTCATAAGATGACTTCCCCATTAATTCGGAGCAAGTTTTGCAAGCTAAGGTGCTACTGAGGTATTATTCTTAAGGTAAAAGTTATCACATTTAAACCTTGATAGGTTTGCTACAATTTTTAAAACGAAATTAATAACTAACTGGTATGTATTCATAAAGAAAATGAATGAAATCCCTAAACTAAAACAGCTTCAGTGAATTAGAACATATGATTTTTGTAACATTTTAAAACATCACAGTGTAGTTTCCTAAAAACTTCCTTAAGTGAACTCACTTAAGTAAAACACTAAAACAGATATAAAGTTAGGTTCCAACTTACCTGATCTGTGTATTCTGATATATTTTTTAAGGATTTGGAATCTTGTTTATGTGAAAATCCACCTTCAACTACACTAATTCCAATTGTAAAACCAAAGTTGAAAGAATCCTCTTCCTTCTTTGCTCTTAACAAGCTGGTTACATCATTATAAAATTCTGAAGAGCTTCCAGAGTCAGCTTGGGCCTGTCAACATCAACACAAAATAAATCTGAAAAGCAGAAAATCATACCACTGACACAATGTCTACTTTCAGAGGCCTTCTGTTAATCTTTTTTTCTAGTTATTGTCCCAGTTCAGTATCTTTTTTTGTGAACATAGACCAATTAAGGGTCCTAAAATCACTGGCACAACGAACATGTTTTTCTGACACAAATTGCTAAATATGGCCCAAAGTGATTCAGAAAGCCAGACTCTGGATTAGGAACAACTATAAGCAAATAGGTTTAAGATGCTGAGAAATTCAAACTCTGGATTTAAAAGTCTCATACCTACCAAGAATTGATAGTAGTGGATATTGTATGGTTTCCTGTAATACTTCTCATCTTCGTTGTAAGACATGTGCTCACAAAAAGCATTATAAGTCAGCTCCCTCCAGTCACCATTATAGACGTATTCACAAAATCCACCATAGTAACCAGGGTCAATAGTGTTGAGGAGAAACTCTCCCGTTAATGCATTATAGCTAAAGAAGACAAATAATGTTCACAAAATCAATTGAATTCCCATTTCTTGTTCAATTAAAAATATAGCAATATTATGAAACGATTTTAACAAATGACCTTGTGTTTTTCAAAATTTTAAAGTTTAAAATCTTCAAGTTAAAATGTATGAATAACTTGAAACTAATGTTTTTTCTCAAGGTGTTTTACTCGTATACATATAATGGCAATGTTCTGCTTTGCATCATTATGGTGGTACAATAGGAAAGTCTACTGTACTGAATATTTTTAAATTTAGTTTTAATTGATCACAAAATATTAATTACAAATGTTGCAGCATAACAATTTTGTGTGTAAAGCCCTCCAATAATATAATTATAAGCCACAGAATAAAACGTCTGACATTAAGTGTTGCTGGTTAATGTTGCTGTTATCAGTGACTCACCAATATCCAAGCAAATATCATGTTTCTGGCAGTTATCACCTACTACTGTATATCATACACATGTGACAAACCTGCCATGAAACAACCACATTGTAATAATCAGCAATGTTTGTATATTTGTTCAATAAGGTGTATTCTAATACCTTCTATCATATTGTGCTATAAACTCCATTCATAATTAAAATGGAGTGTTATATTCTTGAATACATATTTTACTCAGTAAATACATAGTTTAAAAGAATTACACTTTTGAGAGTATTTCACTCTGAAAGTACTAAAAATGTATAATTTTTATGTTATTTGATATAGTAACTACAGTATATCATATTAAATATTTTTTTTACATTTTTTTACTATAAAGTGAAAATGTCATGCAATTGTTAGCAATCATTCTGCTAAAAAATAAAGGGTCGTCAGCGTTTATTGGCAGAAGTCTGTTGTCTGTGGGCGGTTCCAAACAGTATGGTTGTAGTTTTTTTCCAAAGTTTATGGAGGGGGGAGAAGTATGGGAAAAGAGGAGGGTTAAAGTAGTGATGGGAGTAAAAGATGATAGGAAGATTAGCTGCGGCGTGAGCATGTTTGAGTGGGTGCGCATGGGAATGTGATGGTGTTTGTGAGAGTGTGTGGAATGCGTGACAGTGCGAGTGCGTGCAGAATGCGTAACAGCAATATGCAAAAACAGAAGTGATATTAAGAGGTGGAAATTAATTGGATGGCTGATATAACTCATTATGAATGATAGTGTGGTGGCAATAACCAATGACATAATAGGTATTTAATTCCATTGACTCACATTATATTAAGGCCTAGATATTTCAATTTCATGATACAAATTTCTACATTAACAAGAGTCATATTAAATTGATTTTTTCTGGAGTGACTTAAATTAAAATTGCTCACTGATGTTAATGCAGTGTCAGTACAGAACTCACTATTGTTGCATTTAAATATATTCTAATATGTTTAAATATTCTAACCTAAACTTTACATTTGAACATACATTTATGTATCATTCCAAGCAGCTAGGCATTTTCTTCTGTGCTGACAATACTTAGCACGTTGGATTTCTGAAACTCAGTGAAAACAAATTTGTATTGGCCTCCCTTTAATCCCAGAGACCCTCATAGCTGACCAGAGATGCACTGTTACCCTCGGGCACTTATTTCTGAGCCAGGGATAGGGAAGAGCTGCTTGCAGAAAGTATCTTCATAGTTCTCCAAGTCACCACATTCATTCTCATCTGACCCATCTCTGCAGTCTGGGTCACTGTTGCATAGCAGCCGCCGGCTGATGCACCGCCCTGGAAACAGACACATGTTCACTGCACATTTCTCAGCACACAGAGCTGTTCATGCAACTTTGGATCCCAAAGCCAATCAGCAAGTAATGAACACATTACTCGTTGATTGGCATTGGGCTGCAAGACACAAACACACACCAGGGCCAATTAATCTATCAGTGTCACACCCAGGCTGGGAGCAGCTCACATCCCGATGTTGCTTCAGCCTGCTTCCAACGCTTTGAGAACTCACTTAAGACACAACTCCCAAAGACCATTTATCTTTCAATCAGGCAGACCATCTCAAAATCAATCAGACAGTTAAGCAGACTATTAAAGGCTATTTTACCTGTTTATTCAGTGCTCTGACATTGAGCTAAGGTTCAAGTACTGAAACAATCATCCAACAAATGCTTAATTTTTTTCCTAAGGTTCACAAGCACTGAATCAGCAAGGCCATTCAGTCTCTCTGGTTTTCTTTGGCTTATACTTTTTAATTTTCTTTTTCGCTGTCACCTCCAAAGCCACGGCTCTGACTTTCTCTGCTGCCATTCCAGCCAGTCTCATTCTGCTGGGGAGCCTTTGCATTATCCAAAACCAGCTTAGTTTCAGCCTGCCAGTCTCTCCTCTGCATCAAGGTGGCTTTTTCCAATCTTAATATTTATTCAGACAGCCATATTCAGGCCAGTCTCTCCACTGCATCAAGGCAGCTTTTTACTGGCTTATTACTTTTTCAGTCAGTCATATTCGAGTCAGCATCTTTGCTGATTCAAGGCAGCCTTTTTTTCCAACTCACATGATTTATTTTCCTGCATTATCACTTCATCATCTATCATTAAGCCTTGCTCCCACCTTGCCATCCCAAAGACTCCTGAGGCTCCTTTGTGTACCTGCTCTTGGAGCTCGTCTTATCATTCGCCATGGCCCTGAGATCTCCAGAATTGGACTCAGGGCCCTAGCGCTACAAGGCTGCAATGCTAACTACTGTGCCACCATGTCACCCCACCCCTAATTAATAATAATTATAACAATCCTCTTCCATTATGCTGTCATACAAGTTAACTTGCCTGTTTCCTGGCATGTGAAATCCTCTCCACAAAGGTCCTGTCGGTTGCACTGTATGTCACTGGGACATATCTTTTCTTCCAACTTGTTGCCCAGACATGGGTTACCACCAAACTGGTTTGCTTGTTCCAAGTACCTGTGCTGGTACTGATAGAGGAGTGAACAGGAAAAGATGAGAACAGAAGCAAACTAAAAAATTCAGTGCTTTATAGTGCTTGTCCTGTCTTCACTTCACCGGCAAAGTAGATTCCAAACTGTACCTCGTTAAAAATAGAAGAATTATGAGGTTGGTTTTATGGTTAGAAGCAGAGGCAATGTATGTAGCAGTGGTGCTGACAAGGCATACGTTAATATTTCTATTTAAGTCTACTGTTGACAACATCACGTGTATCCAGATATTAATAAGTTATAGTACGGTGAACCATAACTCGCCTCAATATTCAATAGTAATGCAAATAAGCTTGTTCAAATATGCTGTCAATAAATGTACACTGGAAATTTAAGCAGTACTTGTGCAACCACACATGGTTAGTTGCTACGTAACTAAACCATTGCTGTTCTACCTATACTTATACTAAAAATGAAATAATTATGCATATACAGTATTGGGGAAAGCACACTCATATTGTTGTAGTAGATCTTCATTATCAGTATAAGAATTGTTTCTACATTTTACTTTGTATGCTTTAAAGGAGTGCATCTGTACTCGCTCAGAGGGATAGTGATAAGAAATGTATTGTGATACAGAAATTTATTTAAGATTGTAATATTTAATTACACTTCTCCTGAACAAATAATAAAAATTATATGTTTGATATAGATTAGAAATTCATTTCCTCCATTACTAATATGATTTCTTTGTCATTACAAAATCTAAAAGATTAGGGATCAGAAATATTGAGTTTTCCAGGGCTTTGATATGGAAATTGAAGTGCTAAAACATATCATAACTATTCATTTGGGGGTTTGTAATAGGAATGTATAAATTTCACAGTAGTACATTTTTTTGTATGTAAACATATGACAGAGAGAATGTTTTCTTTGAAAATGTCTGTGGTTTATTTGTCCATGTGGATGATAATGATAATAAATATTAATTTTTTTTAGCTGACACCTTTATCCAGGGTGACATACAATACACTTTAAATTTGTATTAAAATTGTATTAAATTTCTATCATTTTTTTACATAAATAAAAATCACATATTACATAAGTTCATAAAAACGACTAGCACAAGATGGAGGTTTATAGCAAGTATTGTGCTGGAAAAAATGAAACAGTAAGTTTTTAACAGTTATATAGATATTGTGTGGATATAAAATAATTTATTTATTGCAAATATGAATTGCTTTTGTTCCAAAGATCCTAAAGTGCTCTACAAATTGGAGGGAACCCAGTTCATCAAACATTGAATTAAAGCACCCATCCATAGTGACATGTGGAAACCATTATTCATCAGCAGCCTTACAATACAGCACATCAGGTGGAGGTATAAGAAATGTCTTCATTATTGTACACTTTAACTTGCCTGCCTCAATTCTAAGTCTTAATTCAATTATTAGGGGGAACTGTAGGGAGGCCAGAATGTTGAAGAACAGAGTAGTAAACTCTACTTTAGAGTAGTAAATTCCCAGACACCAGGTCTGACATCCCTGTGCTTACAAGCAGTGTCATTGGATCTTTAATCACCACATAGTGGAGACAATTAACATTACAGATGCAGCATAGTGTCTCCAGTTACTGTACTGGGACATAGGTTTTTGAAATTTTTGTCAGAGGGAAGAGTGCCATCAACACCAATTACAGGAGCAACCGGTATGTACTCATCCCAGTGCTGAGTAGACCAAGCCTTACTTAGAGCCATCTTAACAGGTGAATATTGAGCAGGCACTGAAAATTGGAATGGACTAGCATGAGGAAAATGAGAAATGACAAACCAGCAGCATTCAGTATGAGTTGAAGTTAATGGAGAGTTTTAAAAGAGGGCATTAAAAAGGGAGTTACAATAGTCTAGGTATGGGAGGAAATGAAAAGACCCAGGGAACAGGATAAGAGAGAGAATAGTAGGGAGCCCAGGATAGAACCCTTGAATATTAAAAACACAATTGGAGGGGGATTACGGGGCTGAGAGTAAGTCATGGTCAGTACAATCAGAGAGGTAAATGAAGAAACATATGCAAAAAGAACCAGAAATTCTGAGATGTTGACAAGAGAAAAATCAACTGTTCTTCAGGGAAAAAGGCAGCACAGAGATTAAGAAGGATTAACACAAAGGAGAGGAAGGCATCCTGAGCTTCTTCTTCACTTGTTAAGGTTCATCGGCATGGTAGAGCCATACTTTGACCAGTGAAACTGGCTTCACATGGATCTTGTTAGAAACACTGTTCAGAGTCTTGGTGTTTTAAAGTGAACTGCCTATGAATAATGGGATATGTCAATATTGAATATTATTTAGCTTACATTTGTACTCTTTTATACAGACAGAGGTTTTACTGAATCAATCCGACTGAAACTTGGGTTCAAGGTTTCTCATTAGTAAAAACTACTCAGGTAATAAACCCATAAACGTCTATTCATGAATCAAGAGCCCTAACCATAACTCCATACTGCAAATTAGTTCTATATCAAAAGTAGGCAGACCATTCCAGGAAAACTTCGATCTTTCTGTCTGCCCATCCATGCATCCATATATAGACAAATATGAATCTTGATGTAGAGTACTTAACTGTTTTTTGTTGACAGGCAGAGCAAGGTGCCCATGCTGACCATGGGCCTAGTTTACAGTCCACTGGAGCAGGGGTATTCACACCTCTGGGTTTCCTTGCAGTGCTGTTCTTACCTCTGTAAAGAAAGAAAGAACATGCACTTAGAGAAAGAGCAACACTTAAGACTACTGGTGCACCAAAGGTACATACAATTGGTTTGCATTATGGCTAATAATAATATTAATCAACAATTTTTGGGTTAATGAGAACACAGATTAAATGAAAGCCACATGTTAACCCATTCGTTGAGGACTACTGCTGTGCAGAACTAATCCATTATTTGTTAGGGTCATTTCATCTTGATTTACACTAGGTTTATCACTCATGTTTGAGTTATATAATATAGTACGTAGAGGTGAATAGCTATAACCCATTTTTAAGAAACTTGAAATAGAGGTGACTTCTTTTGAGCGTCATAAAAAAGACATCATCGATGCTAATTTATATTAAATCCATTATGTGTGAGCCACTAGGAGCTTGCAGTCCTCGGTGCAGTCCTAGGAAACCGAGCACAAGCCAATGAGGAGCCACATTCCACCCAGGACTACTTAGACTATCTTGGCCCAGATGTCCTGGCCACCTTTGACCAATTAACAAGTGCGCAATCCAAGACAATACTTAAGCCTTGATTTGCCACTGGTCCAGTGCTCTGTTCTTGAAATGCTTCACATGACACTGCATTCAGCTGTATTAACCTGAGTCCACTCCCAATTATAGCCACTGTTTCCCTTACACATTTTCCATCAGTCTTTGTCCTGCTTTGGCCATCTCTGGCGGCCTCCATGCTCCACCTGTCACACTCCATACTCTCCCTCGCAAACGCCGTTACATTCCCAAACCCACTCTTTCACAATCTCATTCCTAATTGAGCCCATCACATTCCCACATGCACCAGATTCCAAAAATGTTCACTCCTGGACCAATTATCCAACCACATCCCTTTCCCTTCGGTATTTAAAGTTCCCTCACACACCAACCCCATGCTCACTATTGAGAAGCCTCCTGTAGAATTCTCTGGTGTGTGTTTCTAAACTTTTTTACCGATCTCCTGGTTACTAACCTTTGCCCCTGTCTTTTGACCATGCTCTTTGGATTTTGTTTTTTGGATTGTCTTTTTGGATTTCCTTGGTTACTGGACTCATTCCTTCTCCAATTGACCAAGCCCCTGGGTTATGTGTTTTGGATTGTCCCGCCACGTTCTGCAGGATTCACGGTTATGCATAAGGATCGTCCTATTCTACCTATTGGTTCCCTGATACCACCAATTTGTCTCTCTCTGACAGCCTTCAGTTAACATTAACCCCCCACCAGGCTCTAACATTTGGATTCCCAGCCTATTTTCACAGATGTCGGAAAGGACTGTTATGGGAAATTCTTCATCAGAGGAGCAGGACAGTCTTGTGCAGATTCAGTTTTATTGAACTCACTAAGTCCAACAACACGCGCTGGGTCTGCCCCACATAACAGACAAACTGCAAGGGTTTCCAAGCTCTTATATACAGTCAGAAGAAAGTTTGTCTGGTTTAACCTGTTTGTGGGTGTTGTTCCTGTCTTTTATTATGTACTGTAGAGTTAAGCCACTAGGGTTCTAAAGCAAGTCAGCTTTATGGCATCTAAGTGTAACTTTTGTTTGAGGCTAAATTAACAGACCCCACCAACACCTCTCACACTGTGCTTAAGTGGTGATACTTTGATGCTGGATAAGTGAGATTTATACATGCCCCACTTCAGGACGAAACCGTGGAATGGAAGGAGAGTGAAAAAAGACTCTGTACGTAGCGACGAGGCGGGGGTTAGCCCAGGCTCAGCTGTTCAGGAAATGCCTTATAGAAACCTATGCCCTCAGGCCATGGACAGGAGTGACCTGGTGCTAGTAGGGGTCTCGGGACATCTGAACCTCAATGTTGAGCGAGTAGCAGAGCAGAAGCAGGAAGTAAATTGGCTATACAACAAGACACACCAGAAAGACATGAATAGTCACAGGGAACTAGGAACAGGAGAAAAGTAGAGCGCCCTCTAGGTGTACTGGGCATGACACCTATCAGCAAGACGCGACTGTGTCTCACCAGGTTACATCATTGCAGAATCTACACTATATCTCGACTGCTTAGGCATGACAGTCTTATTTTGCAATTATTTCAAGCAAATATCATTGGATCTCTTTCAGTATTCTTTTTTTAGGCTCTGGTTAATATAGTGATTAATTGATAGTGAACATCATAACAGAATGATTTTTGATTTATAAAAATGGTTAATTGATGAATTAATCAAATAATTTTCAAAACAATATTTATTTAATGATTTTATTATTATTTATTTTATTAATGATTTCCATTCTAACAAATTATAAAAAAAGATTCTGCCTTTTAGTAGAATTATTTTGAGCTAAATAATCATATTATTTCTGTCATCTGACAAGCATTATTCAAGCAAGCCAGAGAAAGGACACAAATGCTTATATTTTTTAATGAATCACTTTCAGTTACAATTTCTCATTCTAATGTGTTGCAAATCCAAAAGAAATATTATCCAACTATTTTTAACAGAAAAAAAGCTTATCCAGTAGCCCAATACAAAATGAAAGTATTAAAAAATCCATACCTCCCATCAACACAGCTCCTGAGAGTATTAGAAGGCCGGACCACAATAAGATGATTTAGTAATATCAGGAGGGTTAAGCCCACTGAAGAATGTATAAATCTCTTCATCGTTACAATTAATGGCTACAGTGTAGAAGACACTCTGGATTCCTGGTTCTATACTGGCTGTTTTGCACGCATCAATCCAACCAGAGTTGGATCAATAGAGCACAGAGTAAATCATTGATTAAAGACAAACAATTGGAAACACTGTTTACCCGGGAACTGACTCCTTCCATAAAATTGACTTTTTGGTTAAGCAGTTGGTAAATAGCACAAGTTGCACAATAACCAAACACTGTAGCTACAGTATATGTTTATCTATATTAAAGTGCACCTTCTTTAATTCAGTCAGACTTTGGGGATTCTTATGATTAGAATAGCCAGCAAGTCTAACACTCACAGTTTAATAAGATTGTTATGGGTTCCTTTAGTTGAAACCTAATAATCCTTTTGATTATCAACATTGAAATACAAAATTGTTTAAATCAACTGGTCCATTCTACTTTTTACATGCACATGGGAAAAATGTCTATTTAGAGATACGTGGATACAGGTTAAAAGAGCTAAAGAAATTAAAGGAATTTTATTTGACCTTGTAAGACATTATTGATTTTAGATTGAAGATTTCCAGAATTGCTTGCTATACAAAACTAATATATCCATACCATTTAAGTGCAGAAGTATTACAGACTTTAACAAATCTCTACATATTGTAGAAAGAGTATATTGATTTAGAGCTGATAGAATCTGCAAGCACTATCACAGTGAAACACACTGGATCCTTTACTACTACAAATGAAAAGTTAGTTAGTTTTAGTCATCTAGTTTTAAAGGACACAATTTTGCTGAAAGCCAGTGGTTATTCAGTTGGTCTTAAAAAGCAGACTCACTTTAAAGCACCTAGCAGTTTCACTATAGGCTTATATACAGACTGTAACTGATGTAGTGGTAGTAAGGGAAAAAGAAGGAGACAAAATCTATTTTATATCTTTTACAAAAAAATAAAGTCATATGTTTACTGGGGACTACTGAAGCAGGTACGCAGAGGGGCTGATACAAATGAAAGAGGGCAATTTGACATTAAAAGAAAGGTTCTATACCTGAATGACTACAGTCAATCCAATTTCAAGCACCTCAGGCCCAGTTCTTTCTTCTTTATATTCCTCAAACAGGATGAAATCTGTGAATGAGCCCTTGAATAAACCAAGCTCATCCCATGTCCATCGTGCTTAACTGGTAGACCTTTTTCTTTTTTTTTATCAAAATCTGTACAAATGGGACACATCTTCCAGCATCTTCAGAAGTCACTAAAGACATTTTAAACCCTATTTAAACAGCACCTAAAGAAGATGATCATAGGCTGCACCACATACAAAGCGAGCACAGAAGTAATAAAAATAGGATGTGAAATGTATTCACAAACATCAATAAATGCAAGCTTTTATACATGATGTCCTGAGACTGAAACATAGCTAAAAGAGGGAGTGAGTAGTTTTAAAATAAAAAAATACACTAAACTGAATCAAATATGTACACTCTGTTGACCTTGTCTTAAAATAAAGTCACAGCTAGTGATTTAATTACTCTCAGCATGATATTGCCTAGATCAAGCCTCTTTATTGCAGAGACCTTACTGACACAGATTCCCTTATTGCCTTCTCATCAGGTCAGCATAATGCTGTAGGTTTTATTATCTTTAGAAAATATATTGAATCTGGAGTATAGTCAGCTATGGTCAAGTACTGTAATGAGTGTGTCCTATTGTTGTAATAAAAAAACTAGAATTGCTGTTGGCGTTATACTGTAGGTGAAATGTAAAATGTAGAAAGAAAACCATGTTGTCCACAGTAATGCTTAAACACATTTTTAAACCGCTTTTCTCTAAAGTGAAGGATGATAATTGTGCTAAAAAGGTATATTGATTTGGTGTTTTTACCTTTAAAAATATTCAACACACTTAAGTTTATCAAACAAACCTGGCACAGAATCAAAGCAACAAGAGGATGCATTTTCAGCATATAGCTACAATAAAAGTACCCATTTGTTTAAAAAAATGCTTCCCAGAGACTACACATGCAGTGACATTACTAGTAGCATGACTATTATTCTCCTGTAGGTAACTGATTTGGGTTATGCACTTCTCACATACACCTCATATTTGTTATTCGCATAATGTATTGTAGATCATTGTAAGATCCTCAAGTGGCTACTTGTAGCTAACTCTTCCTTGCATTTTATCTTTGTCCAAAAACCCTATCTACAGATAAGACTAGAGTGGCACAGAACTCTATTTGGTCAGAATGACAATATTTAAAGCGTAACTCCAGGGTGAAAAACTCATTACTAAAACATCAGTTAAACTCTTGGTTTATACAGTATATCATGAATTTAATTCATTTATAAGAATTTCCTAGAGAGGATGAAATTATTTTTCCAAATAATATTATCTGTATTTAATTTTTTAACTGAGCTTAAAAAAATGATTTCCCTAAATAGAATTCTGTATGTAATGCAGTGTGAATTCTTATCGCCATCTGTTGGTTAAAAGTTAGTACTGCATGCATTGCGTCTTTAGTGTAATAAAACAAAAGGGAAGCTTCTAAGTAAATGAAAGTACCTGCTCTTACAGTCAAGGTCAATTGATGTAACAAATAAACAAAATATCAGAGACACCAAAAATGAATATTACTGAATCTTGATTGTGTATATACCCTAGGTATCATCAAGGTAAACACTAAAAAGCATCCATTCATTAGCAGAAAGCTTCTTCTTTCTGAAATGGCCCATGACACAGTTTGCAAGCTGAGATTATACAGTGTTTATGGCATAAATAAATTACATGGCACACAAACACTTTAATTTAATTTGACTAGTGATGCCTGCACACGGAGCATTACAGCAGTCCAAACCTACGGACTCATGAACTCTTCTCTCATTATCAGGAAGTCATAAGCATTAACTGATGTTTACAATATTTCTAAATGACAAAAGGATAATTATAAGTATTTTTTCAATATGTGACTCAAACCTTAAATCAGTGATTTAGCCTAATAAATCTGAATATGTAGTGACCAGTTGTGTACCATCATCATAGCATTGAGAGTTTATGCAATGTTAACAGATAACTTGACAAATACAATTGGACCAAGAATGGAACTTTAAAGAACACCACAAGTAATATTTCAAGGTTTTATACTGAAATACCAAGCACAAGAAAGAACTGTCCATTTGATAGTAAAGATCAAAACCAAAAGAATACATTTACAGATGGGCTGATCCAGTTTTAAAGAGAATATTATTAATATATTTAATCATTAATAACATAGACCACTGCCTCCAATGCAGAATTGTTGTCTAGCAGTGTTATAGTGCTCTATACATAAGGATTTGAAGTTCTCATCAGTACAGGTTACAGGATCTAGCACATTAAGGGGAATATTGAGAAAATGATACTACAAAGATATACGATTCAAAGACTCTCAGGTGGGTATGCATCAGCATTCATAAGCTGCAAAGGAACAAGTAAAGGTTTATTACATGCTGAAAAGTGAAGAAAAGAAACGTGATGTTTGTGTTTCATCACAATGTGATTTGTTGACACTTGAAGAAGGCTCCACAGCCAAAATATCGTGTTTCTTTTCTTTTTAGCATGGAATAAGCCTTTAGATGATTCAAAGATAATGAGAGGAGTCACAACTAGGGATTAAGCTTTAATGATACAAGCTGATTTATATACTAGGTTTATGAAATTAAAAGATGCAACTTAAGTGAAATCCTATAATAAATACAAATGTTTTACCAATACATAAAAAGAAAAAAAATCAATGGTAAATATACTGTGACTGACTTCGAATTGAAAGCTTTATGGGCAAGAAAGATTTAGGCCATGTTTTAGTGTTTTACCGTTTGCAAATACGAAATGCACAGAAGCAATTAATGAAACTGTTGTTGAAACTGCAATACCCTGCTAGACATTATACAGAATGCCAGTCCGCAAGCAGAATTTACAAATACAGTTTATTTGGCATGCATGATTAACTAGAACGTTTGGTACCGCTACAGTTTGTGCTTTTCAGAGCATACAACAGGATCTTCTGCATTCTTGAATAATTAAAACACCCACTGAAGTTAGGCTCTTTAGGTCATTGCAGTTCACAGCTCACCACTTGTTTAACAGGATAAACCGACTCTGCGACAGAGACGTGGATACTTATTTCATTGCCTTGATGATTCCCAGGATTGGTATGCGACAAATGTGACCAGAACGCGCACGCAATCATTCCCTTATTCTAATCACCCACACAGGTGAGCTTTAAGCGAACGCGCACGCAGTTTCGTGCTTTTTCCCCCTCTTGTTTGAATTGTATCTTAAGTCCAGCTCCAGAAGAATCTAACCATATTTTCTTGTCTTGCAACGTTAAACGCCTGGATTTCGATATTTGAAGGTATTTCTTTCGCTATTGGAAAAACAGATTATATCACTTTCTTCGATAATACAGGAGACGATATTCAGAATGGAACAGGTGAGGCACTTGTTTTAATTTTTACGTTTGGGGTAGAATTACGCAATTCACCGTAATACAACTAAAGAAATATAGGAGGATAGCAGAGCCTCATTTCTTTTCTGCGTTATCCATAAGTAAATAGCTGCGAATGTTCGTTTTTCTAAAAGTTGTATCTCGCTATTAATTTTTAATTATCGCTGATAGTAAAGATCACACCGTTTTGACTTCCCTTATTTGCGTAAAATGTTACATTTTATAATGACTGAAGGATGTGAATATTAAAAACATTTTAAATGTTTTAGTTGTGAATAATAAATAGGCAACCAGGCTGTTGTAACCGGAGTTTCTTCTTGTAATGAGAGTTCCATCTAATTTTCTTTTATATCTTTTGAGGTATTTTACAGTTTGTTATCTTAAGTTTTAGCTCAGATCGAGAGTACTCCACCAGAACGTGCTTATCCAAGTAGCTAAAGGAATACTTACATATGTATCCGAAACACTTCTTTAAAACGTTCTAATCATTTTACATAACATTTTTCACAGGTTAATTGCACGATGTGAATGCCTGACAAATAGCTTTATTTTTGTGAGTAGTCTACTTTTGTAATTGATCTTCCAGATTTCTGAAAGGTTTATCTATATTCATAATTTATTGATTGTGTTTTAATTAGTTAAGCCGAATGAAGACAGAAATGATGTTGAGTTTTAAATTGACCATAAATCTCTCCAATTACCTTAGGAGGAAGGAAGAGACATTAAAGGTGTACGTGCCATGCTGCAGCACAGTCCAGCCTTTTTGAGGAATGGGAAGAGCAACAAACCTGCAATTGCTGAGAAACCGAAGGTGATACCACTGCCTGAGAATCGAGTTTCATGCCTACACACAGGGATAGTGGCCAGAGAAGGAAAGGAAAATGTTGCAAAAACACCACTCTCACTCCCTCCAAAACCCAGCATCACACTTCAGAGCTGGCTGCAAAGCAAAGAGACTCCTGTGGCAAGAGACCCTAACATTAAAATGGGTACACCAGACAACAAAGCCAAGAGGTATGAGGGATTAACAGTAAGTGATGCCTTAAGACAAAATAATGTGCAGAGGTCTGTGAAGCCTGGCATGGCTCAATTGAATTCATTTGAAACTACACATCCACTGCCAGGCAAACCAGAAAAGTTGAATTGTGACTCTTGTGATTATTCAAAGCAGAGTTCCCTTTCAGTCCCTCCAACCTTGATGGAGGAACTTACTCGGGTTCTACTACCTACAGTGGCTAAACAGGGAAACCAACCTCAAGTCAGTGGCAAGTCATCAAAGGAAGATCTGGAGTCTGACACTGAAACATCTAAGACTGACATGTCAGTGGTTTCTTTTGCAGCAGTGGAAGAACCTGCAAGCTCCCAGGCATCTGGGCATGAACCTCAAAGGGCAGATAAGAGTGGTTTCTCCCAGCTGCAGAGAAATGACAGTGCAACTCTTTGTCTGCCAGCCAGTGTAATACCAGAGAACAAATCCAAAGTAAATGGAACTGTGCCCCAGGGACATGCTTTTCCAAAAACAAAGAAGCAATTGTTTCCAATGTCATCACCAATCAAACCAAAAGATGCGTCTTGGGGAACAGCTGATCTGCTCCATGGCCTGAGCACAAGTCGTCCTGAGCTTCCTGCTGTAGATTATTTGATGTCTGAAGATCCTATCCCAGAGGAGGCCTTGATTCAACCCAAGAAGCACCAGGCTGTTGTAACAGGGGCATTTCCTCTTGTACTGTCTGTTCCATGCTCTCAGGCTGACAGCTCACCTTACAGTAAGTCTTCACATGGAGACAAAGATTTCCCCCAGGGTAATTCAGGTGAAAACACCCTTAGGGTTCTTCCCAGACTATTATTTATCTTAATAGTTAAATGAAAACATGATAAATGTTAGAACTGTATAGAGATTTGCACTTAATTGAAGCAGCTCAATTGACTCTATGCTTTCTTTTGTTACTGTATGGTATGAATTATAAAATATTGACAGTAGTTAGATTTAGGTACTGTCTTGAATTCTCTTGAGTTGATTAAATTCCTAGACAATTGCTGAAAAGATGTTTTGAAATATTTAGGTAAAATAGAAACAGTTGATAGTGATAAAACAGATGCCAAAATAACATCCAGCAGCACTGAAAATGAATAGCGCAATCTTCTTTTAGCTATGACTTGGTATTTAGAGTATTTGGTTCATTCCACTTTGCTTGTGTTATCTGAAATGTCTGCCATTCTCAAGAAAGCTCTCTGGTCACATTTTTTAGATGGGGGAGGGGGGGGAGTTCTTGAGAATTTGAATACTTATGCAAATTTCATAAATAACATTTCTTCACCAGAGATAGACAAGAAAATAATTTTAAAATGCAACTTGTATAAAAGGATAGTTTTTGGCATAGGTAGTGATATACTGTATATAGGTGGCAATTCCTACAGCTATTTTCTTAAGAATGCAAAGTTTGCACTCCTTCCAGGGCGTCTCTGAGGTGCATGATCACATTGGTGTTGATTATTTTCCAGGTGACAGAGAAATCAGAGCAGGTCTTTTTCCATCATATTTGGAAGCTGAAAAGCCTCCTCTGAGACGACCTCTTCCAGATATGTGGTCACTGGGCAAAGCCCCAGAGAAGCCCCCCAGGCCTGAGATTGTGGACCTCAAGCCATTACAGACTGGGATGCAATACACCCAGAGACAGAATGGTAATACTAAAACAATTATTGCTTATTTTTAATCTACATGAATGCCAAGAGACATGACGGAGTTCACATTCTAAAGGCTTTGTACTTTCTTAAACCATCATGTTTTTGTTCATTCACATTTCCGCATTGGAGTTCCACAGGACCCTTCCCTTATGTTTGCCTGCTATACCTTTTTATTCATTAAATTTCTATTTTACTGCATACAGGAAGATACAATTCTTGCAATAGTCATATTGTAGTACAATACAAATTCATTTAATGAATTAAAACTAATCACAACATTATAGTGCCAGAGCAGAAGTAACAAATCAAAATGACCTGTGAATTAACTAATTGTAATTTTTACAGTTTTTAAAGGTTTCTGTTCATCATATAAATTAATTAGTTATTTACTACTTTCCATACTGAAACAATCTTTAGCTCAAGTAATGTTAGAGGAGGTACAGTATGTCCAATGAAGTCCTGGGGAGCATCAATTTTTACTTTTTTTTTCATTCATTTCATTTTAATGCCAAGTAACAATTTTCCAAGGTTCTTTACCATAGACATACTAAAACATACTGGGAAGTAGCCTTGCAGGACTGGAGCTCTTGTGGACTCAGTCTGGACACACTTATTGTAAAATGCCTGTTCAGGTATCTAGGTGTAGGTCTCCTAGTAAAAGTAATTAATACTATGCACTGACCTAATGTCACTTTTAGGGCCAGACATCATTGGCAACATGATTCATGAGTCCTGTTATGCAATACTGAATTTTGTTTAGGGAGTGTCTTTAGCAGGTGTTGCTAGTAGCTCTCATAAATCAAAGGATCTTTTAGTTACCATTCAGTCTTAGTTATGTCAAAGCCAGTTACTGTGCCTGCTTGGTTCTTTAAAACAGCTGAGTCCTAAATCATAAATAATGATACCTGTAAATATTGGATTGTCCACCCTGATGCATGAGTAAATTAAGTTCTGATACTTAAGGTTTATTGTGCTAAATCTCTTAGTTTTAATTATGTGTACAGACTGAGTTTTTTCCCATTTTGTTCCTAGAACCTGAGGTTCTAGAATTGACAAAAACATCTGCTGGAGACACGAATGACCCAAATGAGAGGTAACCTCATACTTGGTCAAATGGCCAGCCCGTCAGACTTTATCATTTTATCAATAAATATATTGCTTTCACGTGGATGTGGGAATTTATCCATTGCTATTGAAATGTAGAATTTAAATAGGCAGCATAACACAATTAGCAAACGAGGTACAGTATGTAGTTTACACTGGAAATACTCTCTCCTGTTTGTGGTGTAGTCAGGCCCATAACTCACAGTGGCATAGTGTTGGATCTAATCCTGAAAGGATACCTTAAATTCTTATGATCTCAAAATCTCACATAGAAACTATACCAAAGGTATTGAACTAGAGTGTATTAATGGGGCTAGACATGGTGGATGATCCAGCATGAGCTAATTTTCCCCCAGATGTTCCCATCTGTCTGAGCTCCAGGAGTGGGTAGCTCTAGAAAATGGGGGTAGCAGGGTCTTCTGCATTCCATTTTATCCACATTCTTGAAGAATTAATCAAACCACTCATTTTCTGTATGGAACTAATTGAGCATTGTTTCCTTGATTCAAGTGTAAAGATACCTAAAAACCCTACAGGACTGCAACACTCCTTTAAATGCTTAGTTATCACTGCTGTTTTTCAGGTATGACTCACCAGGCCAGTACAAAAAATGGCTCAGTCTAAAGCTGAGCTGTGATTTTTCTTCTTTTTGGTTTTACTGTTTTTTTCTTGCTGATAAAATCTTTGCAGAGTCCTTTGCAACCCATTTGATAATGTATATGATGACATTGAACTGAGAGGATTTCCACCATCTGCAAGTGCACAGAAGGATCAAGGAGTCCATACAAGTAGGGGATTATTATTACCAATTTGTTATAAAAGAAGCATATTATGTAAATATCTCTTGCTATCGGAGAATGCAAAAATTCCAAAATAAAAGTTATCTATGGCATTGTAGTATAGTTACAAGAAGATGACTAATGATCACAGTCCACTAAGATCTCATTTTTAGTGTTGTGAAAATGACAGAATCCTTAAACAGAAACCAACTTTTCATACATTTGAAAAAGGTTTGAGTCAATTAATCTCTCTACCGTTAAAATGATTCACCTCCCTACTCATATAATATAATCATATAACCTGATCTTTTACTCTTATACACTGTTTATAAAACAGGTGAACCTTATAATAACACTGGTCTGAATAATAATCTAGATTCAACCAAATAAGCTAGTTTCTTCCATTAGTGTTGAGAAAAAAGTTTTAAATCTTCATTTATTTTTATGTTTTTAGCAGACCTGGATTCTGGAAGCCAACAAAAGGTAAGATAAAAGTTATTCTGATTAATTAACTCTATTGTCAGGATTGATGCAATCAACAGCATGTGTGATTTTATAAGAAATGCAAGTTTATCTCATCAGTCATCCATCTTAAGATTCTTGTGTTCTGAGAGTCTAAAACAAGAAATGTTCTGCGCAGAGCGTGTTTCTAAAATGCAAACCAACTGCTGACCTCATTAAATTTTTTACTGCATGCCAGGTATTATTGTGTGGTAAATCACCATTTAATCAGCACCAGATCAGTGATCACTAAAACTTATTTGTAGATCCCACTACGTTAAAAAAGCATATATAAATCAGGTAGCAATAAATATGAAGGTTTTTTTCTATTTTTCGTAAGGAAGTTTGCAATGAAGACTTAGTTATTGACCTGCTTTCAAGTTTTACTGTAGGTTTGAATAAATTATATATTACATAAATGCAGACATACATATTAATTGTAATAATCTAGGTTCTACTGTACATGTAGAAATCTGCATTACATTCAAAAAGTAAATGATCTTTCTAAAAGAATTGCTTTATATTTGTCTGTATTACTTGGGCTGTAAGATTTAATATGATATTTAGTAGCTCTGTCTTACCATGTTTTTCAGAATGAAGAAGCAAGGAAAAACATGTGGTTTGTAAATTCACGGTAGATCTTAATACTTTCCTGCTGTACGAGCATAAGGAAAATTGAACCTGAGTCAGTGTTAGATGTAAATAAAAGAAATACAAAATCAATATTAGGGTTATTTAAATAAAACTTTGTATCTTACTGAATTTGATACTGAAGGATAGTACTAAATAAAAGGTGGATTTTGTTTAAAGTCATCCAGGCACACTTAGAATGCATTGTAGAGAACAAAATATTTTTCAAGTACCTTGAGATTTCTTTTAACTGCTAAGGGCCTTCAGGATGCCAGATTTCTTGATTTAAGTAAAATTACATGAAAAGTAATTTAGAGTTCAGGTGGAATGATGAAAGCAAGGTGAAAGAAAGGCTCTATCCAATTTGAGAGATGTCGTTTTTTAAGACTCTTTCAAAAATATTTTCCAAGCAGTGTTTTAAGGTGAGGGCTTTGTTTATGCTGATGACCCTCCCCTCACAGGTATGTTTTTATTTTTTCCTTTGCAGGGATCGATCCGAGAGTTCTGATAGTCAAAGTGACAAGGAACAAAAGAAGAGGGAACGTCAGAGGATTGAGAAGGAAAGAAAGGAGCAAAGAGAAAAGGAAAGGAGAGAAAATGAAATAAAAAAGAAGTTTAATGTAAGTTAAAACATAGGGACTGCAGAGCAAACTTTGTCATTGAAGATGGCATTCCTCATTATTTTATTAATTTTGTACATTTTATTTAAAGCATCTTGAATTCTCCATTTGCTTTGAGGGGGATTGTGTGCTTATGAACCTGACAGAAATGTGAAACTGCTTCATTCTGTTTGTAGATTACTGGTTTAGAAGAGCCTTTGTACCATGCACGGGTGATAGCAGCAAGTAAAAGCTGGAGGAACGACCTACAAGTGAAGGTTGGGGAGACTGTGAGCATCATCCGTACCACCAACTGCCCGCAGGGAAAGTGGCTGGCAAGGGACTGTGACTCAAACTGTGAGTCTCAGCAGTGCTTCTGGATGTGCAGGGCTTAGTTACGAAATACTGAGTTAGATCGGTAGATGCTGCATATCCAACCCTGATTCTGCCTTAAAAAGTTTTATAAAATGATGGATTAAAGTATGAAATCCATTTTACATGCAAATGTAACAGGTGTAATGCTCTCAGCCAGTTACAGAAGTGATGTCACCCAATTTGAAATCAAGATGCTGTAAAATTCTGCTGCAACTAAGGACCATGCCTTTTTTTTCTTTACTGTCCAAATTGTGAGTTAAAGCTTATTGTGTTTTACAGGAAAAGATTCAATTGTTTCACACTTTAAAATCTAAGGTGAAAATATTAAGGAAGAAATTAATTGAAGCATTTCATTTAGACATGTTTATTTACTTTGTTCAAAATTCTTGAATCCAATTCACACAATTTTGCAATTAATTTTAGGTTGGGATTAAAGTACCTTGAATAAGTAATTATAATTTTAGAGAAGTTTTCCTGTCAACACTTGCATTTCTGAATATGATAACAGATGGCTACGTCTTGGTGAAGGATCTGGAGTTGGATATAAAGGAAATACTTGAGCTTGGGAAGAAGACCTCACAGGCTGTGAGACACAGCTCCAATGATGAGGATTCCTATAGCGTGGGAAGCAGGTATTGCTGAAATTCTTCATTTTTTAATGAAGCACATAAAATCCATTTGAATATGCTGAAATTAGAACAAGACATATGAGAGTGTTGCAGGGCTTGAGGGCATGTTTTTCCACTCTGATGTGTAACTATTTTGCTTATGAGACTCTCATTGCCATAGGCAAGATTAAGAAGTACTCCTAGAACTTTTACTATCTGAATGCATATGCTAATATATTGGTTATTTAATACATTCTGATTCCCAAGGTTCAGACACCACCCAGGTCCCCACCTCAGTTAATTTGTCTCTCTGGGGAGAGTATTTAACATAACAGTGATAATATATTTATGATAATATTCCGATGGTATCATTAGAAACCAGTCATTTGTACTCAGCCTATTCATCACACAGCATACTTGCAGTTCAAATTTTTTTAATTTGTAGTAGAACAACTTGCTGTTTTGATTTCAAGTGATCATTATGAAAAGTAGATGTAACGTTTTAAAAATATCTAGCATTTTTTTCAGTTATTGTGAATGTGTACATACTGTAGGTTCCTTTCCTGGCAATATACTCATTTAATATGTATATACCACAACACTGGGTTTTAATACAGATTGTTTCTGATTTCAGTTTGCAGCCTGAAGAATTCTGATATTAAGAATGTAGTCCAAGAAATGTGAATTATGGTTTTGTTTTTGAACAATGCATTGCGGTTCAGGAGCATATTTAAGATTTCAAAATAAATCTGATTTAAATATACTTAATAAAATGTTTACAGGTTATATATACTTAATAAAATATATAATATTAATATATATATTAAATATACTTAATAAAATGTATCTCTTGAAAGTCTAGTGTTTTGAAAATTTCAGTGGTCTTCCTAACATTTTTTTCAAGGATTCAAAACCATCACATTATTATAAAAAAGTATTAAATGGGAGGTTAGATGGATAGGTTTGACCTATTACACACCTCTTGATGGATTTTGCAATTAATAACCTAATGAGTGATAATATGCAGGTCCTACTTGCACTGAGGAGATGCCACAGTAATTATTACGAGAATTACAGGTAGTGGACTAAAAAAGAAACACCTGGCTAAATCCCACCATGCTTAGGGTGATGATTGCTGATAAATATGGCTAGCATTGTTGTGAGTAGAGTGATTATTGGGTCCATTTGGCAGCACATTTCTCAGATCTTTCATGAGCAACAGTGCCTATGGTGTCGGCATGGAAGTCAGAGGGAAAGACATCTTCAGCAAAGGGCAACTGTTGAGCACAAGTGCATAATCAAGGATCATGACACCAGTGCATTAATTCAAAGTGTAAACAAAACACGTTAGATCTTTTGACTGAAAATTGCAAAGTGGTGTGCAAGCAGCCTGTTAATGAAAAGTGGCCCACTGGTAACTGCACAGAGCAGAATACCTTAGTTGGATTGCAAGCACAAACCACTCATCATACCTGGCAGTGCACGTTTGAAAGTCCATTTTTGCAAAGAGCACAGACAATGGACTATCAAGCAGTGGAGAAATGTGATACGGGTGTGGCTCTGCAGCCTTTACTGCTTAATTACAATAATAAAGAGTTCCATAATGTTGTAGGCACATTTTCCTGCCATGGTTTGGGTGAACTGAACAAACTTGAGCATTTATGGAATATTCTGGAATGATACACTGAGTATTTTCCACCTCAACCAGGCATGACTTGACTGACTTTTTCTTGGAAGAATGGCCTCTAATAGAATTCCATACACTGGGAGATTCTGTGCCGCAGAACATATAGGGTATACCGGCTGCATGAATTGGCCTAATGCCTCATTATATTACTTTACATTGATGTCAACTGCCTGTACCATCTTGCAACAACTAATACAGTAATGTGTTTATGTACATGATGTTATGTAATAGTGTTTTGTATGTTTTTTAACTTGTTCAACCAGTTATTGCTCAGACTCGCATGTTTGTTGTGTATATTTTTGTGCTTGTTGTGTACATATTTCCCATAGCCTTAGTGCTGTTTCCATAGTTAGCATACATATTTATAGGTACAATGATTTTCTGCAGTCTAACTGTAATTGTTATTTTGCAGGTCTTCTGCCCTTTATCCAGTTTCTACTGGCAGTTGTAAGTGGTCCTATTTCTTTAATTTATGAACAGTGGATTATACTGCAGAAAGCACAAATTTGTTCCAAAGTGAATCCTTTTCACGTTAACCAATAAGGGGCTATTCAGGTTTTTGCTTATATGGCTTTATGCTAACTGAGCTCATGCAGTGTGTTTTTATCTTCAGTCACAGATGACAGTGAAGAATGGTCCTGCGATGATGAACTTATCCTACCTCCCGAGTAAGTACAAACTAGCAACTTGCAGCTGAAAGAACGCAAGAAATATTGTCATATAATATGATTTATGCTTTTTTGTGGTGTTTTCCACATCTGCACCACACATACTGAAGGTGTTATTCTCTTGATATGTAGGGCAAATTGGTTCAAATTTTAAATTCTTAATTTCTACTAGTTAGGACTTTAATTACTTAAGTCTATCACTTAAGTGCTTATACAACAAAGATGATCAAACATATTACATTTGACCAATTAATCAAAAAGGCACTACAAACATTTAATCAATATCAAAAATCTGTATTTATTATTCTAAAATCATACATGAATAGTGATAAGCTTCTTATGATATTCAGTGCAGTATCATATCCAGGTGTCTACATGTAAATAAGATGTACAGCACTGATGTTTTGTGTATGTATTAGAATAAACACATAGTTTAGCTGCCATATAAGGCACAGCCATTGCTCATTAATCCTCATCAGGTTGCTAATTTTGACAGGTGACATGCATGTATATAAAGGAACAAGTAATAGGTTTATTCCGTGGTGAAAGGAGAAGAGAGAAAACACAACGTACGTGTATATATACATCGATAAGCAAATATCTACTCGATTATCTTTGCTTGTTTCTAGAGTGCATCTTCCTACACCCTCGGATCCAGAAGCAAGTGAGTATGAGTTCTTGTGCTTTTGAGCTACAGATGATTCCCCTTTAGGAAAAGGTTATGGCTAAAATATGAGACGTTACAATGTTAGTGTTTTCTTTGATGGTAACTTTGTTGCTGCAGTTTATGCATTATAAAGAGACTTTTCTAAAAACATGCAGGGTTTCTAGTCTTGTATCAAAATTAAATACTTAAAAATTTAAAAATTCTGTAGTAATATTAAGATTGTATTATTTATTGTGACAGATAGTAGACCTGTGAGTGCTGATTGTACAGATGGTGAAGCTGCTCAAGAAGACAGCCATTACCAGTGAGTGTAATTGATTATCATTTCTAGAATTAAAACATGTTTATGACAAATCATAACAAAATCTGATTCCCCATTAAAATATCATTTTAAGATCATGAAACAATTTCTAGAATTAGTATATACAGTACCTATAAAGAAAGATCAATGCTTTTTAATTTTTATTAACAGGTTTATATTAGTTTAATAGTTTCAACATTTTAATTATCAATTATATTGATTATCAATTCTTAATTCATTCTAACTTAATATCTGTGCTTGCACTTTTCAGGATGCAAAATGAAGCACTTCAGAAACTTGCCACTTTTTTTCAAAGCCGTGTAGAGACAAAGGAGCAGCAGGAAGAAAACAGGGATGTGATTCCTGAAATGTAAGTTCCTTTTTGCCTGAATGGATGCCACATATCTTCTTAGAAATACATTCTAAATGGGTCTGGTCTTCAAAATATTTGCTTGTTTTTGACAACTAAGTCCTCATATCTTTGTAGTACTGTCCTGAAAAAGCAATGGGTTTTTTTTAGATTGTGAAGAACAATCCACTAACTAAATCAAATACTATGTTAGTAGTTCAGGTGGGTAGCTGCATCAACATGCATATACTGCAAAGGAACAAGTAATAGGTTTACTCCATGCTGAAAAGAGAAGAAAGAAAACACGTTTCGGCTGTGGAGCCTTCTTTGGAGGTAAGAATGATAGGGCAGTCAGCAAAGATTATATAGAATGGGAAAATAAAAGCCAGGAGAGAGAAGGAGGCGGGAGCAGGAAAGAGGCAGAGTGGCCAATCAAGTGGTGCAAGGTGAGGAGAGGTGTGAAACGAAACCTGTAAATGAATAGAGAGAATTAGAAGAAAACAAGTCTATTATTGAGAGAAGGGGGAGGTGTGAACCAAGTTGCAGGATAATTTTAGTTTCCGATATCTTTCTGCTATAGGAGTTAAGAAACCCTATTTTGAGAATGCAGAGGGTGAGATCAGTGTGATCATGGCTGTCAGAGGTGAAATGAGAAACTATGGGCGAGGAGAAATCTTTAATTTTCACAGCCCTAACATGTTCTCTGAAGCGGTCTCTGAGTCTCTTTCCTGTTTCCCCAATGTAGATGGCTAGCTATTTACTGCAAGAAAAACAGTAAATAAGATTGCTGGAGGTACACGGATCACGGAGGTACATCTCGGTGATCCGGAATTGGCCTGAGGGGCCTTGAATGAATGTGGTGTGGTGTCAGATATTTACTTGCAGGTGATACCGTGATCTCTGTTGCAGAGGAAAGTGCCTGGTGTGGATGATTGCTGAGGGCTGTCAAGGGAGCTGTGAACAAGAAGGTTACACAGATTGGGTGGTCAGCGATATGAGATGATGGGGCGGTCAGGAAAGACGGCCCCAGTGGAGGGATCATCCTGTCGGATAGGATTGTTAACGGTCCTGGGTATAGAGAGTGTGTTAGGATGGTAGGGAAGCACCAAAGGTTGTTAGGCTGGGAGTTCCTGATCGAGTTGATAGTCTGAGGGCTGTTTTTGGCTCGGGTGAGGGCCCTGTCAATAACACGGGTGGTATATCCTCTCTGAAAAGGAACTGTGAAAAGGGGAGAGATTTTTGTGTGTTTGGGGTGAAATGAACTGTACAGAAGATAGCTGTGTGAATCTTGGGTTTGTAATAGACCGAAGTAGAGAATCAGGGATGGTTAATTGATAGGTTTATACGGACGTGGGATAGGGACGGGTGGAAGTTGGTAAAGTGATGCAGAAAGTGCTCTAGCTGGTCATTAGAGCATGTGGTGGTGTCGGCTTGTAGAGGTCCAGGACAAAGCCAGTGTAGAACTGTGAAACCAATATAGATGTCTGTCAAAATTCACTTAAAATCCAAATCAACAGGACAATTCATTTTGTGTTTATAAAGCGTTTACATAATGTTATCTATATGTGAAAATGTTATCAAATTAAGTTGGCAAAATGAACCTAATATCTAGAGTTGTGTAAGTATTTAAACGTGTGAAATACTGAGTAACTTTAAAAACTATCAGCCTAATCCGTAAAACTCATAATAAGCTTGGGAAAGCAGGAAAGCATGTTCTCTTGAAAAGAATGTGTGCTCAGTGAGAGGTGAAATACCTAAGGAAGTGAAGTCATGAGAACGTTGCTGACATTCTGCGTTTTTCGCTGGTATTTCCTCCCAAACCTTCATAATAATCTTTTACTGTTTGATCCTAGCCATGTCATACAGTAGGTTCCAGAAATGCATGAGGCTAAATGATTTGAATGTCTTTTCTCATCATACAAGAATATACTTGTGTTGAATACACTAACCTTTTTATACTCTTTCTCCCTGTCATGTCTATCAAGACGAGAAAAACAATCAAGTAAGTGAAATAGTCTGTTCTCTTACTGCTGATTGTGTTACCAGCTTGTCATTAGTGTAATTAACTGTTAATATTTTGCTCCTTTGCATAATTTTATCAAAACAATATGTCCAGAGATCTTAAGTATAACTGATGAACTGCCTTATAGCATTTAAACTGAATGCAGTAAAAATTAAATGACAAGTGTCCGACATCAGCAGTTACTGAAATTTGTTTTTCTTGACAGCTGTTTTGCTTCCCATGGAGGAAAAACTCTCCCAGTAAGTAAACTTATTTATGTGTACTGTTGGAACAAAAAACAAAACAGACTTCTCTTTAACATTATTTTCAAAAGCACAATCATGTTAAAACTATGCATCAATCACGGTTAACTTTTACAAGGTTTAATAGTCAGAGTTCTGGATTTTGTGTATTTTTTCTAGTGTCTGGAATGACTTCAGGAGATGTTTTTGTCTTCTGTGATCTTCCCAGTGTATGCGTAGATGATTATTTCCCTCTCTCACTCATGCTTTTCCTTCAGAGACCAAAATCCAGCTTATGAACCCATTGAAATTGTCCAAAATCAGGCAAAGCTGAAGGAGAAGAAACTGAATAGTGCATGTGGAATGGAAAGGTAGAGTCTTTGATGTAACGAAATAATTTACCTCCCTACAAATGTCTGTTGTTAAATAAAACGTTCTCCAAATCAAATCTAGTAAAAAGATATCCAAGCATTAGCACAAACCCTACTCCCCAGGCTTTTGTGCTTTAAAATTAAACTATTCTACGATTAGTGATTTAAATCTAAGTGAGCTGTATACTGTATATCTTGAGGTCCTCTTTAGCAGTTCCTCTTTAGCAGCATATTTGAATGTAATAAATATTTCATATTTGAAATACTTCAGATCAGAACTTTGTTGGCATTTATTTTTTAATTAATATAGGATAAATTAGATTTTTAAATTGACTGTTGTCTCTCATAATTGTTTGCAATATACGTTATTTGTAAATCTACAGTCTCGAAGCCTCCTTGGTTGGGACTTAGAGATCTAAATTACAAGACTTTTACAACAGATAAAATATTGATTTAAGTTTTGCCTGGATGTTTTTGTGAGGAAACGTTATGCGTTTTACACCCCTTTCATTGCTCTAGACTACAGTTGTGTACTGGACAGCCTTACTCCATTTAATCTTACTGGTCACGTGGTTCTAAAATGCGCCAGCCATTTATTGATTGATTTATTAAATATTTGCTGAAGAGTACCCAGATTCTGATTCTACCTTATCTCTAAATTACTTAGTTTAACAATTCACCTTCTCATTTGGTCACTGTGAGATTATTCCAAGTCCTTAGAAATAGATGATTTTATGATGACCTATAAAATCTACTGGACTGTGGCTCTCCAGGTCCAGGGTTGGAAAACCTAATTCTGTGTTCTTTTGTACTATGCTGAGTACATAAAAATAAATTGTAATTTATATATATTTGTAACTTATTTCTTTTTTATGTTTGTCCCCAAAGAACCAAAAAACTAAAAGGTAAGAATCAAAATTGGAAGTGACAAATACTTTTTCTTTTACAATTTTTTTTTCTAGATTTTAAAACTTTAAATGCTAATTTAGTTTTTTTCTTTCAAGTCATGAATCCTTATCTTGATCTGCCTACAGCTGCTCAGAGGTATGTTACACACTACATTATTGTTGTTCCTGCAATATAAAGCTTCTCATACTGTATTTTAATAATGCATAGGCAATCTTTATGAAATGCAAAGACTATAATAATCACCATGAAATATTTCATATGAAATGCATTTTGTTTGTGTTGGGGGTATCTTCTCATTGAGAAAGATTGCAGTAAAATACTACACCTTCATTTGCTCATTTATACTTATGTAAGTGAGTGGAAAAGATAAAGGGCTGCAAAGATCATTCAGAGAGTCTTTAAGTTTTCTTATAAGAACATAGAATGGTTACAAAGGAAGGAGACTTTTAGCCCATATAACGCATTTTGTATTTAGTTGCTAATTCATCAGAATCTCATTCAGCCAATTCTTAAAGCAGTGGTTCTCAAACTTTTTGGACCAAGTACCACCCCTGATCAAACCAAAGCATCCAAGTACCACCTACAAGTCATCTTCTCATAGGAACCCCAGAAATTCTCAATGACCAACATGAGAATACAAACTCTGTACAAACTCTGACGCATTTTATCCGGCCGATGACATTCTCTTTGATAAATTCATTCAGAAGCTGAAATATGTGCTCTACTGTAGTTCCCGTTGGTAGCAGCTTACAGAATGGAAAGTCCTCATGGGACGTACCCTCAAACTCATATCTAACGTAAACGAGCAAATTGGGCAAATCGACTACAGACTCATCTAATTGCAGTGAAAAACATCTGCTCATCTTAACGCGCTCTATCGGCTTACTTTTGATATCATCCGCCATTTTAATAATTCTATGACAGCAGGTCGAGCTGTTTAGCAGCTTTTTCTCCACACATAATTTGTGTCATCTTTTTTACCCACGGTAAATTAGGTTCTTCAAAAATAGTGTGGGGCTTACCTGCTTTAGCAATCTGCAAGCTTGCATTTTCCCCTGTTTCTGTTTCAGGATTCTGTCTCAGAAGTTAAAAGGAATGTTTATTTCATGCACATGGGAGCGAAACAGAGACGTTCGGTGTATTTTTCTCAAATTAACTTAGAACAGTTCTTAAATATTTTTCTGTTATCTGTCATGCTTTCCTGTGCTCACAAGATTACCAGCATTCTTACTGTAGCACGCATTTCTATGCATTCCTGTGTTTACAACATTGGCATCACGCACATTCTCCTACCTCTCTATTTGCTGGAGATAAGTTTTTTAAATACAATTGGCCGCTTTCGTTCGCAGTACGCATTCCTATAGAATGGTATAGAATTACATTGTAGTTCTGTGTCCACTCAAGTATTAGCGTGCACTGTATCGTAGTACGTAGGCTGCGTATTTGACACGTCTTAAAATAGAAAATATGAAAACCCGTCCCAATTTTTCAGCGCATACAACAAAGTTCCAGGGTCATATGGCGTACCAGCTGGCGGCGCTCCGCGTACCAGGAGTGGTATGCGTACCACAGTTTGAGAACCACTGTCTTAAAGTAATATGAAGCCATCTTCCACAACACTTTGAAGATGTTCCTGCTATCCACAGTGTAACTAGTGAGGAGAGGGGATCCAAATCCAAGAATGCTATTCGAGACAAGGGAAAAAAAAACGGAAAGAAAATTACAAAGGAAGAGAAGGAGTTCAGGAAAAAGTTTCAGGTGAGTTATATGGTCACTGTTTCTCCATTTACTTCTCTTTGGCACTCCATCTTTTGCTTTCTCCAACTTTGGACATGAAATGTGTTGAGTATGCTGCACAACGCAAGGTATTTGCCTTTTACCGTAGAAACTGTTTCCATACCTAAACAGTTTTTACATAGTCTCAAAAGTAAGTGAGAACAAACTGCCAAGAGTTGGTTTAGAAGTCACAATGGATACGTAAAACAAGTAAACAAAATTGTTCTTATCTCTGTAAATCTTGTTTAATTGCAATATTTTTGTCACTTTATATTAGTCGCAACATTTTATATTTTTTATGTTCCAATAGTTTTGAAGTACATTTGGAATTCAATAAGTTTTACTTATTACTTACTCTAATACAGATTTGGATATTCTAGTATTTAGCTGCTTTAGCATGCGCAGGCTGCAAAGGAACAGGTAAAGATTTATTCCGTGCTGAAAAGAAAAAATGTTTCGGCTGTGGACCTTCTTCAGATTCTCTTTTTTTTTTAATGGAATAAACCTTTACCTGTTCCTTTATATATTCTATAACATGAATGTTCTAGTTTCTGGTTCCCTAGAAAGACAGACTATAACACTTAATGTACAGGTGTGATAAGGAGACAGTTGTGGATGTGACGAAGGCTGCTTATTTTCATATTGTTTCAGTACACCAAGCCCATTGAGGTACAAGGGCAAGCAGTGGTGAATTACATAATTGTACAGGAATTTCCTGATAGCTGTGACCTGCCCATTCTCCCTGGAGAGAATCTGGATATCATTGATGTGAGCAGTGCTCATAGACTCATTTGCAGAAACATGGCTGGAAAATGTAAGGATAATTTTGTTTTCCATTTCTGAGGAAAGTAATATTCTCTGTGGTTGTGAAAGGCACTGTCATAAGTGTTTAAATTCTAAATTTAATGGCTAAAAACTATGACCATAGAAGTAGTTCAGATCAATTAAGGCAATAGTTGATTAAAAATTATTTAAGAGCAGTTAGGACAAAGCTCTCTGCTCTTATAAGACCTAAAATGAATTGCAATATTGTGTAATATTTTTTTAAATGGTTTTCAGGAGAAGAGTGTGATTTTTCTTTTGTGGGTCACAATGTAACTCCCTTTGTAAAGCATTATTTACAGTAGACACTTTTTTTTTTTACTCTGAAAACCTTTGATGGGTGTAGACATTGTGTGTATACAGAAATTGAATAATTGTCTCAATGGTCTGTTTGCAGATGGCAGTGTCTTGCTAGAAAACCTAACTTTGGTAAGTATTAAGGCACAATTGTCACATAGGAAAATTTTACATATTTTGACTGAAGATATGTTAGATATGAACATTATAACTGTCTATTTTTAATTAAAACAGCATATTAAATATATTTTCCTTTAAGGTCTGTGATGTGCATTTGTTACACATTGTGTACATTTTGATTCCTTTCTTTTTTACAGTTAACGTAATGCTGGACAGGACCCAATCAGCAATATTGTTTATCTCGATTGAGAACCACCTTGTGTTGTGTACAAAATGTATATTTGCTGGTGAAGGATTTTCTTTGAGTTAATTTAAAGTGAAAATGGGACCTTATGAAGTATCCTCTGGAAAGCTCAGAGAGACTGAGTTGGTTTTGCAAGTTTTGTTTTACTTTCTTCAAAACTTACCAGTCAGTTCTGTTGATAACTGATTACATGAGAATGTAAACACAAAACCAACTGAGTCACTGTAATCAAAACTTAATATGAAGGTAAAATGAATCACTTAGATCAATAAGAATGAAATGTTTTTCTGAGAAGATAGGAATTATTGCTGTTGGATTTTCATAATACAGAGCTTAAAAACTTTCAAGCTCTAACAATTCTTAGGCTAATTTAGAAACTGATTTGAATAGCATTGTGTAATCATGAATTTTTCACCAACTCATGATACAAGCATTAAAGTTGTCAGTATAGTGTGCACATAGTGTGATGCAGTCTACGAAATTGAGAATATAGAACCCTGGTCACAATCTGTAACCAGAATTAATTCACAGGGAGCACTGTAATGATCTTTGTGCACATACTGTATGAGCAAGAATATCACCCACATTTATTTAGACCGGTGCACAATGGACACACACTATAGACACCTGGTCCAGTAAGTCCAGAAATTGATGAAGGTGAGGCTGTGCAACCTGCAATGCTAGTTGATCAGGTTTTTGATGACCAGTGTTAAACGATATGAGACAAAATCCACAGCCATTGCCGAACTCTTCACAAGGTTGTCACACTAATGAGACGATGTTTGCATTAATCTGGAACAAGAAAAACATAGAAATCTAAAATCTTGGTTGCTTCTACTACACACTTTTACTGCACAAATCTCAATGTGAGATGTTTTAGGTTTATGTTAAGACCTATGTGTATTTTTAGTTTATGACATATACAATTTTCAGTTGACTATTTACAGGATGTACAGATAAGCTAAAGTAAATTGAGTACTGCATTATAACTAGAAAAGTTTAGCAGGCTATGTACAGCATTTCCAACATATGGTCGACTTTTTAAATTAAATTCATCCCTGTGCTAGGGGATAGAATAATCCTATTTCAATGTAATTGAAACAATCAGTGCTACAATCAATAAATGTCATAATTTAAAAATCTTCATTCTGCGTTATTGAATCTGTGGAATTTACTGGATTAAATAGGTATTTAGAGAGTGAGAACGCAATTTACACTAGCACTGTAGGTGATGGGACATGATTAACCATGACAACTGCCTCATAGATAGAACAGTGCAGTACAGTAAAGTATTATTCTTCCTAAAACTTTAGCGAGATTAACATTTCCTTTAATAAATATATAAGATAATGAATACTGACTATGATAAGGTATATTGCCAAGCTGCATTATGCTAACTCCCAGTCCAGACTGGAAATTAATCACAGTTTATAATTTGTCAGTCACTTGAAGTTTGTACTTATATCTGTATATGTAATTGTTTAGTTATGTGTCTGGTTTAGAATTTTTTATGTATTAACTGATACTCATCCTCATGTACGGAAACAAGTTAAATCTGACAAAGCAAAAACTACAAGGGCACCAGACAGATGAATTACTGTTGTGTTATGCCTATGCATAACAAACTTGTTAGTCTTGAATAAAAACAGATGCTTAAATTTTCACTTTTGCTTCTTAATGAAACACACACAGTGTTCTTGCAATAAATATTTACTGAAGTGCAAATCATCAAAACGTCATGCAAGACCAGAACAAGCAGAAAAACAAAATGGAGAAAAAACTATAGCTGCTGGAAGGCCAAAGCCTGTTCATTTTCACTTTTCACACACGTGTGGCTTGGAACCAGGGCACAATCAGCACATGACTTACAGACCTAAGAATACACAAGCTGTATTTTGTGACATTGAAGAGGTACACATAAATGGTAAACAATTTATCAGTAGATAAATTTAATGCTTAACATAAATTGTACTTTGGTTCTAATATTCTTGACATTCAGTAGAGCATTACAGTGTAATACAGATCAGAGTGAGAGATAAGACATTGCATATGTATGACTGTTTTTCACACGTAGTTGACATGTTACTGTTGTTATTATCTGACCAAAAAACATTTTTATAACCATTTTAAAGAGTCATTTTCTGTATTCAGCTAATGAGAAATGTACAACATACTGTACCAAAGTAACTAGTATATTTCATTGTATAGTGTGATTAAAATAAGATCTAAACATGCATAACTTTTGTGGTTACACAGTATATTTGTGTATTTATGGGTGAAAATAGCAATTTATAGTCTACAATGATTTTTAATTGTAAATGGTAGTTTGGATCTTTATTTCATACATAAAAATATATAATATTAAAAAAAACTACAGAGGAGATGAATACTGAAAAAAAGGACCATAACATAACCTTAGGTGCTTCTTCTCCACATTACAACATGCTTGTTTTTATATTTAATTTTGCAAGAAGTGAATTATAGAATAGAAATCAATTGTAGAACTCACTTGGATTCATCAAAATACACACTTCTTCCATTATTATATACTTCTAAAACCTTTGAAAAACCTTTGCATATGGGCATGGTAGAAGGGAGTGTATATGTTGCAGTGTCAATATAATAGCCACTAAGATCTTTGATATCTTGAGGTTTAAGTGTAATTGTAGGATCTACACTGGAGAGACCCAGTGGTATATTCTGTAATGATTCTATTCCATCTCATGCTCGACTTGCATTTGTTTTTATCAAGGTATGAAAAGCACATGATTTCCACATATTAAATCCTATGCTGCAGCATGGTTATTTTTATGTATGTTTACTTCAAAGTCTCCCTTAACTTAATCATAGGCACTAGCAGATTATTACAATTACACATTATATCATCTATATATCTGCTAAAATTACACTTGAACACTTATATGATCTTGATGCCTGTGTGTTTGTATTAAAACTGTCCGTTACAACATTCACAAAACACTGCAATATCTTAGTAACTAAAAATCGGAGCTTCACTACACTTTTCAGTTTGGTGAAATTAATGTTTTTTACATTCATTTAAAGTAATGCATCAATGCCCAGGAGCATGCAATCACATTCTTTAATTGGAAAATTCTGTCTCGCATTCAATACAGTACATGAACAGGTAAACGGGTTCTGATGTACTTACAGTATTCAGCAAGCTGTGAAACTGGCCAGAGTTCCTTCAGTGCATTGAGGCACTTCTAGGACACAGCATATAAACCTACTAAAATGTGACAAATGAATGTACAAGATAAGAGACTGATATCGACCCACCTATTTTTAGTACACTCAATTCTGAAAGCCATGGCTCTTAGAATGAAAGTTGGACTAGACAAACGGCAGTAGTGTGAAAACATAACATGGAGAAATGAAGTTTGGTACATAAACGTGCAATAAGTCACAGCATTGCTTGGCAGTGCTCACAGGGAGAAATGGACCACGATATTCCCCACCTGTGAGCACTGTCATCCACAGATGAATGAATCCGTACACAGTCACAATGAGCCTAGGGTGCTGCCATTGTCTAAGTGAGCATGTCCCCATTGGCCAATATATATATACCCATATAGGTCAAGGGTGCACAGTTTCCACATTTAAACCAATCCACATAACTTGAGAAGAACCACATATTTTGGAAAATAAAAATAAATATTGGTAGGCACTTAAAAGAGGTGTCTCCCCATTTGATAGCTAGTAATGCCAGATGTGTCATATTAACTTCCGGGAGGACTGCAGGGCCTTCTGTCTTTCATTACATGCCAGTACTCCCTTTTGTTATTGCCCTAATGAAATATTTGGTATAGAATGCGTAAAACTTTTATTCTAACAACAAAAGACATTGGAAAAACTATTTTATGACTAGTTGACTTGATAATTAGACCCATGAATATAATTATAAGCTTGTGCTGGAACAAAAACCAGGAGCTAAAACTGACATCCCTGCCCTGTTCCCTACTTGGAACAACCTGGTAAGATTACCTTTTTCAAATGTGTACTTCCAACAAGGACATGCTTCACTTCCAACTCGCCAGTATATATTTTTAATAATAATCTACTGATCCTCCATTAGAATATCATAATATTTATGTTGGAGAACTTCATTATGTGAGGAAACAGTTTCAGGCTTTTTGGGGATACCCTGAAATGACTTTGAGGCTCCCCCAAGGCTTCCATGCACCCTGGCTAGGGAAGCCGTGGAGTTTGTATGTTCTCCCATGTTTGCATGGGTTTTGTCTGGATGCTTGTTTCCTCCCACAGCCCAGAAATGTACTGGTAGGTTAATTGGTTAATTGCAAAATTGGGCCTAATAGTGTATGTCTGCCCTGCGATGCATTGGTGTCCTGTCCAGGGTTACCCTGCCTATTGCCCGTTGCTTGTCGAGATAACCTCTGGCTTCCCCATGATCCTGAACTGGAAGAAAATAGAAGGGTAAATGGAAACTGACTGCTGAAAGCCCCATATCTGAAATAGCAATTTATATGTGATCGAGGTTGTGTTTTATAAAATTGACACATGGATATCATAACACATCTTCAGGAAACTGTTGCATTTTCTAACCCTGCATGTAGAAATAAATTATTTAAAAGAGTGGCTGTAACTGATAGTCTAGTTTCTCAGAGTGAGAAATGTAGCCACAAAATAAATGCAGGAATAGCATGTCAGATTCGTTCTTTTTTTTTTTTAATTCCTACACTGAACCTGTCCGATTACATTTGTAGAAACCCTACATATTACTGGCCCAAAAATACAGCTTGCTGAACAGGTCACCATTGTACTTAATGACCCCTTTTATTAACTGATTCATAGTTTCAGACATGGGGGTAAATAAAATCAAAATAAAGTAAACTATATTGTTACAAAACATATGTCAATGCATGTAAATATGAAAGATTATAACAAAAATGAAAACAGTATGCAGAACACATATCATAAGGCAATTTGAGAATGATTCATCTCTTCTGGGCTGAAGTGTTTATTTGAAACAATGTGTCCATGATTTAATCCTTTCATTCCTAACTGGGTAAACTACTATTTATGCAGCCTATAACAGTTTTTGTCTTTATGATCCAGCAATTAGACTAGCTGGGCTTACTTCCTCACCCATTTCACTTTTGCAGCAATGAATTACAACAGATGTTATAATTACATTAGCCCTGATCCCTGATAAAGTTATAGGGTTGGATAATTGTTGACTTACATTATAGTATTTTTACTGCACACTAAATGCATTTAATTAGGATAAATGGCATTAATTTAAATAAGAGAACAAAGTATTTGAGTTAATGTTCATATAAATTAATCCCACAAATAGCTTTTTATATAATAGAATGACATTTTTAATACCGTTTCTTTAGATGATTTACTTCAAGTTTTTGGTGCTCCAGAATTAATAGTGTGACTTTACATTACATTTGTCACCCACCTCCTTACGTATAATTAGATAAATTACATAGGACATCTAACAAATCATTTTTATTCTGAGGTGTTTCATTCTTTCAAGAGTGGAATGGAAAATTATAATTCATGACCATAACCATGTATTTTTGTTATGAAGTGAAAACAGTACTTTTTAAGCAAACACTGAAGAACAATGCTTTATTTCCCCCAGTCATAATGTTGTTAGAAGATAAAATAATATTTTTTCTTTAATTATTTTGACAAGTAATACATTTTTCATCCAATTAATGATTCAGAAAACATTAATTGATGTAAGCCTGCATGTTATCAAAAGATTTTTAAAAATCTGACTTTATTGCTAATTTCGAGCCTCTGCCAGTGTGATTGTTATACTGTAGCATGTACCTGCTGTATACAGGATATATTAACATATAAATTATAAATTTAAAAATTAATATATAAATATCTGAGTCATTAATAACTGCGGAGTGGGTTTTGCTATAGAGAGATGGACATAAAGACTTTATGTTTGACCCACCTCTGCATTTTTAATAAGCTGTTCTTCCTTTCAAAAACATAGGACAGTAAAAGAAGAGGGTTTACATTCAGGTCTAGCAAACAAACAGGGATTTCTGATGAAAATGATTTTTTTCATTTTATATTATTGAATAAAATAATTCTTAAAAATAAATTTCTGATCTCTTTCTCCTAAGTACAGAAAAAATATTTGAATATACTTATTTTTGGTTTACCTTCTTAATGCCTGAAATAATAAATTACTGTACAGTAAGCAGGTGATAATATATAAATATAATATTTTATGGCTATCAATAGATACAGTGTAGATTTTAAAAACTTAACTAAATATCTGATAAGTGAACACTTTGACTTTGCCGTTATAAAAAAAACAATAAAAAAAGGAAAATTAAGCCGTGAACCTTGCAAACTCTGAGGGATTGTGTCTTGTACTCACAGCAATTGATGGTTAAACTCATGTTGCTATAGTGACCAACACTGTAGTGGTGTGGACTCAGTGGGCACAGTGAGGGCTCTGGCTTGGGAAGGCTTGTGCAGCTGCCTGCCTGCCTACTCAGCGTGCCAGTGTAGTGATGAGACTGGCACACATCTCGAAGAAGTCCATGGTGTGGCTGCCCTGCCGGGGAGTGACGAGGTGTGTGCTGCCAGTCAGAGAGCCTGAGAGCAAACCACTGAGGACGGGAGTCTCCATGACAATGGCCACCGAATCAATACTCAGCCGGGGTCGGTGCAGGCCTGCAGCAGAGGTGGAGTGCTGGGGTGTGGAGGAGCCTGATTTTTGTTCCACAACATCATCTGGAAAGAAGCAAGGAGGAAGCAGTTGCAACTAAATTAAATTTAGTGGACTAGGCGTTTTGTTTCGGCCACGACAAAAAGACAGCATAAAATAATCAGAAAGGAATAGTAGCGAATAATTTAATGCATCTACTTTTAAGAAATTCTAAATGTGTAAGTACGATATTTTACACAAAGCCAATATCTTCTGCGTACAATATGAAACACTTTTTAAAATGTTTTGCCCATCCTAAAAGTACAGTATAGATCTATATAGTATATATAGTTCTATATAGTAGAATCATTTCTATAATTGCACAAATTGCAACTAAGGTTGCTGCTGGAAGAGGTGTTAGTGGGGCCAGCAGGGGGCGCTCACCCTGCGGTCCATGTGGGTCCTAATGCCCCAGTATAGTGACAGCGACACTATACTATAAACAGGCGCCGTCCTCCGGATGAGACGTAAAACCGAAGTCCTGACTCTCTGTGGTCAT